TGTTTGATTCCAATTATACATATTCTAAAACTGGTAACAATAACCGAGCACAGGGTCAGCAAAGTTTTTCTGTTAAGGGCCTAATAGTAAATATTTTAGGCTTTGAGAACTACATGGTGTCTGTTGCAAAAATTCAACTCTTTTGTTGTAGCAGAAAAGCAGTCATAGACAACATACACTTTTGTTCAAGCACTCTCTCTCCTTCCTTCTTCTGGGACAACAGAAATGGAATAAAGTGTGTGTATGTATTTGTGTGTGTATATATAAATATAAATATAAAAAATATTTATGTATATACATATATAAGTAAATATATTTTTATAAATATAATAGCATAACAAATATATTTTTATAAATATATTTTATATATATGTATATATATACATATATATACATATATATATATGTATATATATATATATAAATTAAACAAACAAGCAGGGAAGAGGGTCAGAGAGAGAGGGAGAAGCAGACTCTCTGCTGAGCAGGGAGCCTGACATGGGGCTCGATCTCAGGACCCTGAGATTACGACCTGAGCTGAAGGCAGACACTTAACTGACTGAGCCACCCAGTCGCCACTGAAGTATTTTTTTTTCATAAACTGCAGCTGCTATCACAGAAATGATAAAAGCATTAAAAATTTTTTAATAGAGAATTATTGTAAACAAATCCATAAAAGCACTTAACAGCCAGGATATAGAAATAGTTCCATAGGGTATTTATTAAATAGGGGCTTCTTGAGTAATTGTGTGAGCAATGGAAATAGTACTTAACTACCCAGACTTTTGTTCCACTGAGAGCATTTGACGTATCTTGCTTTTCCAAATAAAATGAGCATTATTTATATATGCATGAGCTCTTTCCTTATTCGTCTTATTTGTTCCCCTATTTGTTATTTCCTTAGTCATCTGCCCCACCCCTAACACTCAACACAGGGTCATGCATAAAGGAGCTGAAAATGATGCTTTCAGTCAAGGCTCACAATCAAGTAGCTTGTGAGCCAAATGTGCTTTGTTTGGCTATTATCCTGTTTTTAAAACTGAATTTAGATGTTATCAGGCAGGACATTCATTCTGCAGTTTACCAAAGATCCTACTGTCTCCTACTACTGAGTACCACTTCACTGCTGTTTTCTCTTCCTGGCCAGTGAAAGCATTTTAATTTGTGCCCCGTGTGTTCAATAAAAGGAAAACTTATTTCAAATTACTCTTATCTATATGCTATGATTTGCTCACCTATAGTACATGCCTCTTTTACCATCTGTAATGTTTCGTGTGTACTTTAATAAAACCGTCCTTTTTTACAAATGTTCAATTCCCTGGGAACATTCTCACAATCCAGTACAGAACAATATGTGCAAGATTACACAGTGTATAAAACAGATATATGTACAGGAGAAGAAGATAAGGAAATTGATCAAAATGTCAGGTTATTAATTTCTGGGTTGTGAGATTATGGATTACTTCTCTTCTTTATTTTTTATATTTTCAAGTTTTCTACAGTGAGCATGAGTTACATTTACAATCGGGAAAGAAACTCTTTTGCAGAAAAAGGAAAAAAAAAGTTCACAAATTCCAAATGACTGTCTTTCCTGCTCCTTAAATTGGAACAAGAAGAATATTTATTGAGTGCCAACTTGGTCTCAGGCATGATGCTACATGCTTTACATTCAACCACAAAAACCTTGTGCGGGAGGAGTATTAAAGCTCCCATTTCTGATATATAGAACAATTACCTCAGCTTTATTTTATGGAAAAATCTTGAAATTGCCAGGACACAAGGATAGAGAAATCTGGAGAAAAGAGGCAGGGTGGGGTGGGGGGAGAGGAGAAGGCCTTAAAGAGAATTAAAGGCAGTGAAAGATAAGAAAGGAAATAATGGTGGATAAGGGCATAGGTAATAATGATTTATTTAAGCATTCATCAAATATTTAGTTTCAACTATTTTAAGACACTTTGCAAGAGACTGTAGGGTATACACAGATGGGTATGACACAGATCATAAGATAGCATATGAATGACAGTCCTTCAATATGCATTCAATATAATACCCTGCATTAATGGAACATAATAAAATTGACCTAACACACTTGCCGACAACTGAAATGAAAAAGGGAAATAAGAGTCAACCGAGAGTACAGAGTGAGAGGAAGAAGGAATTATTTCTGGGTGTAGGGATGAAGGTGAGAGGGAAAGAGGTAGAAGGTCATACCAGCCAAAGGACTCCAATCTCTCCGTTGAGTGCCAGGGCTGTACCTGAAGTTGTTCACTAGCCATCTCTTCCAAGTGACTTGAAGGCCCTCAAACTCTGTGTCCCCAACCCAATCCATCACCCACCACCATATCCCTCTGTGTTAATAGGTTTACTATCCATTCAGAAGTTTGCTTATTCAACAAATGATCACTGAGTGCCTGGTATGTGGACCAGTAGGTTCAGTAAAAGACAGATATTACACAAGCAAACATAAAATACAGAAGTACAGGAAAAATGAAGAAAAGGTGAGACAGAAAAATAAGAGAAGTGTATTTTCGGAAAGACCTCTCTGAAGAAATAACATTTTTTTTTTTTTTTTTTTTTTAGAAATAACATTTCTGAGAACTGAAGGATGAGAGGGCTCTAGGAATATCTGGGGTTGAAATGGATGTTCCCAGCAGTGGGGACAGCCTAGGCAAAGAAATGGAGGGAGGAAAGGACTTAGGAAATCAGAACTGAAAGAAAACCTCTGTAATTGCATCAAGGAAGAGAGAGGGTGAGTGTGGTAGGACATGCAGGTAGAGAGCTGACCAGCGCTTTGTAGTTTCTCCTACAAACTCTGAATTGTATTCTAAATGCAATGAAGAAACAGCAAAGAAAACACAGATGCCATCCCTCCGTTCATGGGATATACAGACCTAGTGAGGAATACAGACTATTAAATGACTGATTTCAATCTGTGTCACAAGTTTTAGGATAGGGAATATATAGAGTGCCCTGAGAGCACTGAGAAGGACACTTAATTCAATCTGAGGAGGTATATTTACTCTCCACTGGGACCACTGCAACAAATTCTTTATCATTTTTGCAGCCTTCAGGGTCTACCTGAATTTTATCTTCCATACTGCTACCTGTCATCTTTCCTTAACACAAGTGAGAGCCCGTCAAAACCTCCCAGAGGATAAATTCCAAACTTCTTGATCTCATGTCACCATGTGGCCCTAACCTCTGTCTTCTTGGTTTAAACTCCTCCTCCTACCTATCACAATGGTTTTTAAACTTTCTTTTTAGTAAGAAATATTTTATCATTACAAACACCACATAAAACACTAGAAAGTTTCAAGAAACAATTCAAGTAGGATTACTGTATACTTTCTATTTTATTCTACTTTTTTCCCCTAAAATGTTTGTTGATTTATTCTTGACCTGCTCCTGGGTCTAGTCTGCAGTTTGAAAATCAGTGACTGCTTCTTCCACTACTTCTTTCTCTACTTCAGCTCTGAACAAACTGTTCTTTCACCGTTTACCGAAGCAGACCTGGAGGCCAGGAGTACCCTGCCCTTCTGTCTTCGTTGTTCATTCACCTAGCAATTTCCTACTGACCTTTCAAGAGTCATCTCAAACATTATTTATTCAGAGAACCTTTCCAGATATCTGCCCCAGCACCATGCTTCCATCCTCTGAGGTCCCTGGTAACAGCACAACCTGAGTAACAGTACTTGTCACGCAGGGTCTATATAATGACTTCAAAAACAAGGTAGTCTGCTCTGGACTAGGTTTCTGGACATCAGCAACTTAGCTGTTTATCTCCGGTCCCACGTAGGGTCTAATTGGAAACAAAAGTCAGGGGATGTTAGGTTGAATAAATGAAAACTCACCTCCCCACACTCTCAGCACCTTGGCTGTGCACTTCTGGTTATTCCTCAAGCATACCAATCTGCCCTCCAGAGCCTTCCTCTATCCCCAGCACTTCCATCCCGGGCTGTTCCTACTTTTTATCTTCAAATCAGTATCTACCCTTAAGAAGGCCATCCGTCCATACTCCCAACACATTTCCTTTGTCTTCACAGCATTTATGACTCTCTAAAATGATCTTTCCTTTTTGTGTGTTTGTTTACTTATCTATCTTCCGCATTGGTATGTTAGATCTTTAAGGGGTACTGATCACCAAGTATTCCTCCAGTAACTTCGGCTGCTAGAACAATGCATAGCGCACAGTAGATGGTCAACAAAACCTCAGGTAACCAATGGGCCAGTGGGAGAAGAAGCAGACAGAGAAATCTGTCCCGAAACCGCCTTGAGTGTTGCCCGGCAGAGCCGGTGCTACGGCTTAAGCAAGGCACCCAGGCGCCACATTTCAGGGCCTACCAGTAGTAAGTGACCGTGCAGGCCGTGCACACCCGCTCGGCCGGGGCTTCGCACACCTCGCAGCAGAGCCGGCGCCCCTTAGGCACCGCCAGCGGGTAGATGATGTCCATCTTGCAGCCAGCAGTGTCGGTCTCCAGGACGGTTGCCCGGCGAGGACACGCTGGACGCCGGCGTCACGTGACCGCCATCAGGCTGCCTCGTTCCCAGGATTTCAAGCGCAGGGGTAGGGGCGTGGCTCCACTGACATGTAGAGTGCATATGTGGGGTTAAAAACAACAAACAAACCAAAACATAAAATTCCTCCCCGTAAGTCCCGAGGTTAAACGGCCGGGCTGTCGGACTCCAGCGGAATCTAAGTCCTGAAAGGCTGATACGGCGGCCGCTGAGAGGCAAAAATGGCCAGTTCTCTATCCGAGGAGGAAACGAACATGAGGGAAGGTGGCCCTTCCAGACGCCCGCCCAGCCGACAGCTCTTCAGTCAGCTCAAGGTCACCTCTGGGAGGCTGTGGGGCAGAAACTGCGCACAGCCCCACAGCAGAGAAAGCCGGCGGCCGCGTACGGCGTGTATAGGGAAGCTCCGCCCCTTCCTTAGTGCGGCTGCGCGGGGCCCGGGATTCAGGCAGGGCCGCGGCGCCGCGGGCAGCGGGGCGTGCGCGAGTGCGGGCGCGCCCGGGGACTGATGGCGGAAGTGGACCTGGTCGCCGAGTTTCCCAAACCTGCGAATGCTGCGCGCTTTGCCGAGGTTATGGGTCGCTTCGTCGCCAGGCTGGGCGCGCAGGGCCGGCGAGTGGTGTTGATCACGTCCGGCGGCACCAAAGTTCCCCTGGAAGCCCGGCCAGTGCGCTTTCTGGACAACTTCAGCAGCGGTCGGCGCGGCGCTATCTCGGCCGAGGCCTTCCTGGCCGCGGGTTACGGGGTCTTGTTTCTCCACCGCGCTCGTTCCGCCTTCCCCTTTGCCCACCGCTTCCCGCCCCAGACCTGGCTGTCGGCGCTGCGGCCCTGCGGCGCAGCCCCTTCGGGCTTGCTGAGTCTGGAGGCCGAGGAGAATGCACTTCCGGGCTTCGCGGCGGCTCTGCGGAGCTACCAAGAGGCTGCGGCTGCCGGCACCTTCCTGGCGGTGGAGTTCACCACTTTGGCGGACTATTTGCATCTGCTGCAGGCTGCGGCCCAGGCGCTCAATCCGCTGGGTGCGTGCGTTTAGGAGTTCAGGGTTTCCTGCAGGCAGAGCCTTTTTCCCCAGACACTTTCCCCCCAGACACTTTTGCCCTCACCTTTTCATTACCCGCAGTCTAACAGCCGGGGAGCCTGAGTTGAAAGGAGCTGATCCCATATCCCACTCCGATTTATTACACCCTGTGCTTCTCTCTGCAGGCTCTTCTGCGATGTTTTACCTGGCTGCGGCCGTGTCAGATTTCTATGTTCCTGTCTCAGAAATGCCTGAACACAAGATCCAGTCATCTAGGGGCCCACTGCAGGTGATGGGCGCTTCTCTTCCAGAGATCCGATCCCCTATAATCAGTCTTGGGTTAATTTCCTCTTGATCTGGAGATGGCCTTTCTGCATTCCATATGTGATAGGCCCTAGGGATACAGAGATGAATAAGACACCGCCCTCCCTCAAGAACCTCACAATCTAGTGAGGGAGCTGGATACAGACATAATTACAGTACAGAGTGATAAATGCTCTAGTAGAGGTACGTACAAAGTGAAGTCAGAGCATGGGGTGAGTGAATCTTGGGGAAGTCAAGGAAGGCTTCTTGGAGGAGATGACATAAACTGGGTTTTATAAAAAGATGTTCTGAGACTCTAGCAGACAAAGTAGGGAAGGTCATTCCAGAAAGAGTACAAATTGGAATTTGGAAATGAACAGTGTGCTGTGAACTGAAGTTGTTCAATAAGGTTAGAGAGCAGGGAGAGAGGCACCCAAGGTGGGTGGGCAGACGGAAGAGAGCTTATTTCGTAGAAGATTTTGTGTTCCTTCTTAAGTAGCTTGGACTTCATCCTGTGGAGCTAAGGAAAACAAGTAGGAGAATGAGATAAACTTTTTGTTTGAAGAGAATATTCTGGCATCAGTATGAAAGGTGAATTAAAGAGAAGTGGGTGCAGGTTAGGTGATGATTGCTGTAGTTTAAGCAAAGGGTATAGAGTGGCTAGTGGTGTGGTTGAGATCTTGAGGTGATCTGGCATCCTGGAACCTGACACAATTCTTAATCATTTATGTTCAAGCAGAATTTAAATAGGAGAAACTACCTGTGAGACGCTTGCTGACTTTGTAGGATACTTCATTTGTTCATTTCTGCAACAGATATTTATTGAGTGCCTACTATATGCCAAGTACTGTAGTAGGACCTGGAGATAAAGCAGTGTTAAACATACTGTGCCCTTAGTTGCATATACTCTTCAGAGACCGTAAATATGTCAAATGCATACTATGTTAGGTAGTGAAAAATGATAAGCAGAAAAATTAAGTGGGGAATGGGAATATAATCCCTCTCACTGCTTGCTAACTTTCTGAAATCCTGATATTATCAGAGTAATTTCACACTTTGAAATTTTGGGAGCTTTAGTTTATCCTGTATTTTTTTTTAAGATTTATAGATTTATTTATTTATTTGTTTGACAGAGATATCACAAGTAGGCAGAGAGGCTGGCAGAGAGAGAGGGGGAAGCAGGCTCCCCACTGAGATCCCAATGGTGGGAGGGCAGGGGGTGGATCCCAGGACCCTGAGATCATGACCGGAGCTGAAGACAGGGTTAACCCACTGAGCCACCCAGGTGCCCCTCTCCTGTATATTTTAGTTCTTTCTTGAAAGTACACAAACCAACTCAGCATTCTTAGATGGCATCAAGAATGGTATAGTAGGAATTTTGATCAAGTGAAAATAAAATCAGTTCTCTTTCTTCAGTGCTAAGATATGTTATGAGTGCAGTTTTAAAATGGAATCCAGTAGCCATTCTACTGGTACAAGGAATGTTTTAGGCTAAGAGATTTAAAAACCCAACATTATACTTCTGCCAAAGTTAATTTGCATTATGGATTTGTGTGAATCGATTTGTTTATTTGAGTCTTTGGTTTAAAATAAGGGGAATACTTAAGAAAATATAATGCTGTTTTTCAGAGCTCTGTTAATGGTGATGAGGGTAGGAGGGCAAGGTTAATTCATAAGACATGATTTGTCTCAGAATTTGTATGAAGCCTTGGAATTAGGTATCCTTATTACAGAGGATTATCCTTAGCTTACAGAGCCAAGGCTTCTAAGCTAAGCATTTAAAATGCTCTGAAAAGTTTGACAATAAAAAATCCCACTTAAATTTGACATCGCCAGAAATCTGAGTCCCTGCTTCCTTAGTTTCCCATGAGACTGACCTGGTAGATATTGACCTTTGTTTGCTTATTAAGCTTTTCTTTTTCCAATACAGATAACAATGAAGATGGTGCCAAAAATGCTTTCTCCTTTGGTTAAAGACTGGGCTCCCAAAGCATTTATAATTTCCTTTAAGTTGGAGACTGACCCTTCCATCGTAATTGATCGTGCACGGAATGCTTTGGAAGTTTATCGACATCAAGTGGTGGTGGCTAATAGCCTTGAGTCACGACACTCCTCTGTGGTTATTTTAACGAAAGACTCCGAGACCAAGATATTGCTATCAGAGGAAGAAGTAGAAAAAGGCATAGACATAGAAGAGAAGATAGTGAGTGATCTTCAGTCTCGACACACAGCTTTTATACATGACAACTGAAGTTAAAAGCCTTTGTAGGATCAAAAATTGTTCAGTGGGAAAAAAAAATTGTTCAGTGGATCAGGACTTGTTTTCTAAGTGGTGAAAACAAGTCCTTTGCTTTCATGAAGACAAAATATGAAGGGAAAGAAACAGTGAGTGGTATGCAGGTGAAGGTAGTTTGGTATTTGTCTATTAAAGGTCATTTCATACACAATAAGAATGAAAACAAAAGCAAAGCAATTATGACCAAACCACCTGACACACTTATCTGATTATCACCTGGATTTTGAAAATGAACACAAGCTGTTCGTCACCTTTAGAAAAAGAGCTTATTGGGAATTATATTCCCCAGCGTATACATGTGAGGCCTGAATATCAACCTTCTTACTATGAGAAGGATTATGGATGCATGAATGGCCATGCCTTAAAGATCAAATATTTCTTGATGCCTGCTATGTGGTAGGCCCTGAGGATTATGAGGATTAAAACGATGAATAAATATGTCTGTCTGGGAAATGGGTGTATGAAAAATAAAGTGCAATAAAGCTTGTGCCCAAAAGCCAACATGATGGAAATGATGTTTTTTGGGAATTCATTGAGGGGGAGTACAAGAGAAGGACACTTCCCTTAAGATAGGTTGCCTTTAGAATGATGAGCTTCCCATACATTCACTTTTTGCTCCTTTTCCTAGGTTGAGTATTTGAGTTAACAGTTTACCTTTCAAATATTTTATAATTGTGCTTAGTGGAAACTTGGCTTCTACTTGGGGCAAGGAAGGGGCCTATTTGTGATTTCTACCCTGAGGGAAGCTTTACTATATGGTAAGGAGTAGAGGCTTTGGAGCCATCTCAGCCAAATTGGGCCTTTCGAGCTGTTATCACCTGTTAGTTTTGCAAGCTCAGACTCATGACTTAATCTCAAGTTACTCATTTATGAAATAGAGATAATAAGCCTCTCTGCTGAATAGTGCCCTTTGTTGTGAGGCTTAAGTAAAACAGTGAAGATAAAGCATTAGTCATCTGGTGTCTGGCATGTACATTTTTTACCTGCACATAAATTTTTCTCAGCAAGGCAGTATTCTGATGGTGCCTTGCTTGATCCCTGAATTCTTGAGTTTTCAAAGCTTCTGTTACTGTCCTAGGCTTTGGGTTGGGAGTGCACGAGAAATGTGGCTCAGAAAAATACCCTAAATGATCTGTAGGATGGTCCAGAGTGCATGATGAGAAACTACCATTAATAAATAGGTAGAAGCGGGCAATACACTTCACGTATTTGATTTAAAATGCAATTAGCGATATTTCATGGAATTGGGAAGAGTAACCCAATGTGATGGCAGTGGTGCAATAAATTGCAGTTGAAAAGATTTGAGCAGAGGTGCAAAGAGGCATTGAAATATGTCACTAAATCAAGAAATGTGACTTACAAGCAGAGGGAAAATAACTTCAGCAATCAGCACTGTTCTGGAAGCAGCAGTCCCATGGAACAAAAATTTTAACTTAAGGTCCAATTAGCAAAATCTCAAAGACAACAGGCTCTGTCAGAGTGGCTTCGGTACTGAAGGGATAAGAAGCGAAAGACATTTTCTTCCTTACATCTATAGCTTCATGTGGATGATGACTGTCATCATGTTTGAATGTCCAATGAGGGTAAATGGAGTGAAAACTAGAAGTGATGTTGGTTTCTACCACCTATTACTTCCCTTGGGAACCATTTCCTATACTGTATTGTTAGGCTTAAACAAACACCTTTTTCCTACATGGAATTATTTAAAGTGTTTTCCAATTCAGTTTAATTTCCATTTGGAGCACTTAAACAGTATTACACATGTTAAAATTCCAGGAGGTTTTTTGTTTGTTCGTTTTAAACAGCAAATAGGAGCGTGCAGAGAAAGAAAGAATGAAAAGGAATGCGAGTCAATGAGAGCAAATGGGAAAGCACTTGATCTGGATTGGAGGACCAAGAATTGTTTCCCTGAGGAAGTGATACTTGATCCGGTAAGTAGGAGTTAAGTGGACTGGAAGTGGTGAGCATTTTAGATCAGAGAAAACACACTTGTAAGGTGGAAATGGTTGAAATACTTCCATAAAGTAAGGGGTGAGATCTGTCCAGATAACTGGCAAAGTTTTGGAAAGGGTCCTATGTGGAACTAGAATAAGACTGAAATGCGGGTACCTAGTTAAGATATCAGCAAAGCAAGGACCCCCCAAAATGGGTCAAATCAAGCTTTGGTGAACTAACCAGAATCTTGCAATTAAGAGCATTTAAATGAACATGTTATATACCAAGCCTCTCTTAAGTTGTCAATTTGAAATTTTATTTTGCACAACATAGGTGGAGGACCGGTTCACTTAAACTGAATTTTCAGTGCTTAGGACTTCTAAAGGGCTTCTGTCTTAGGGACAATTCTAGTCAAATCCAATTTCTTCATTTTTATAATAATAAAGCCAGATCCGAAAAATGTGATTTGTCTTAGGCGCCCCAGGTAGTGACAGATCTAGGCTTAAAATTCACAATCCTAACCCTCTCCCTTTTAAGAATGAAGTTACTTCTAGAGAAATAGAACCAAGGTTATTAAGCCGGGTCTCCACTTAAGGCCTGGCGGGAAGCTATTTGAGAGTTGTGAATGCCCGGGACAAAACGTAACTTCGAAGTAGGAAAAGCGCTCCTATGTTGTTACCATGGTTACTGCAAAGCCAATGGAATGAGGCGTACTTTCGTTTCTGTCTAAAAGCCCCGCCCCACGACCCGACGGCCAATGGTGTGCACTGTCTCCACAGGAAGAGCATCCCCTGAGCCAATGGTGCGCGTCGTTTCTATGGTTCCCGCCGGAAGGACGCCTTGGCGTCTCTGCGGCAATCGCGGTTGCTATGACGCCCGGGCCTGGGTAAGCACCTGCCGCTGGCCGCTGAGCAGCTGTGGAGCCCAGTGAGCCAGGACCCTCGCGGCACTCTACGAAAGTTTCCGGCCTGGTTCCTGAGGTTCCCGCGGTTCTGCCTCAGCCCCGAGGAGGAAAGCGCCTTCTCTGCGTTCTTTTTCTGCATTCCAGGTCTTTCCCGCTTCTCTCGCTAGTGTGACCCGAAACCGGAGAAGAGCCTCTCCTGGCTCTGCCTTTATAGTGGCGGGCTGGAGTGATTCTGCTTGAAGAAGGGACCCAACCGTCACAGGCCTTTAGAATTAGGCCGTCTGCCCTATTTAGAGAGGGCTTGGAACCCGTCGGTTAAGTGGGCGCCCCTTTTCTCACTGCCCCCTGGCGAAGACTCAGCCCTGCACAGACCACTGCGCCTGGTGGGCCTGGCCCGTGCCGAGTCCTCCAAGCTACGGCTTCCCCTGGTCGTAGGCTTGTGAACAAAGAACTGCCGTTTTCTGCTTGTTCGCCCTATGTTCATCATGCAGAACCTTAAATGCCGATGAAGCTCTGGAGAGGCCTTTTGTATCCTCAGCATCGGACGTCATCAAGTCAGTTACCTTCTGCCTTTCGAGCTACGATCTCATCCGTTTCTCTCATCACCCTCAGCACCAGTTTTCTCATCCTCCTCATTCCACAGCCATTTTCACCCTTTCTTGTCCGCCCTGCACATCACTGAATGTCCATTCGTCTCCACCACCTCTGCCATCTGTAGACCACCTCCCTCTGATTTCCTGCTACAATGCTTTGGGTAGCTAAGTATTCCACATTCCTCAGCTCTGGAATCCTTTGGAAGATTTTCTTTGTTTCTCTGCACTGTGGCCAGCTTCCTGTCTTGGTTAAACTAACTAACATGGAGAAGCGCACTTTGGTAAATAGAAAACAGTGAATTCCTACAAGCGTAGCGTGTTTTGAAACCGAGGGGGAAAAAATCAAAATGCGTTTTTAGGCCCATCCCAGGCTTATATAAAGAAAGATTGTTTCTTGCTCAAGTGAATACTCTGTTAGATTTACATGATGAATTTATGCATGTGAAAAGATCATTCAGAATGATCATGCAACCGGATTTCAACTTTAAGCCCATATGAATGCAGTGCCTTGATACCATCAAATTTTCTGGAGGGGAGATGCTTAAAATTGTTCTTGTGCCTTCTCTTCATGTCAGTTTCTTTTCTTTTCTTTTTAAGATTTATTTATTCATTTTAGAGAGAGTACACATATGTATGGGGGAGGGGGCAGAGGGAGTGGGAGAAACAATGACAATCACTGAGTGGGAGGATGGGGATCCCCCAGGACCATGAGATCAAGACCTGAGAGGAAATCAAGAGTTGTCTGTCCAACCCACTGAGCCACCCAGGTGCCCCTTCATGTCAGTTTCTTAATGGGAAAACATTCATTATGACCTGAGCCAAGAAACAGAAACAATGAGGAGGAGTGATTGAAAATAAATATTTTTGGCAAGGGAGCAGGCTTAATAGTCCTAAAAAGACTGGAACATAGAACCTTAAAAAAATAGAATGAGATCCATTTAGAGCCAGTCCAGTTTTCTTTTAGTTGAAAAACTTTAATTTGTCTTAAAGTTTGTGTTCCTCGTTGAGTCTCACTATTTATTTTTCAGTATTCAGGTTTAAGTGTAAACTTATTTTGAAGATATGTACTTTTAGCAGGTACTTTGGGGTCTTCAGCTTTCTCTTCTATAATGGACTGGAGAAGAAAAAAAGTTCTAGGGATACCTGGGTGGCACAGTCGGTTGGGCGTCTGACTCTTGATTTTGGCTGAGGTCATGATCTCAGGGTGTTGAGATCAAGCTCCAAGATCAGTGTGGTATCTGCTTGAGATTCTCTCTCTCCTTTTCCCTCTGCTCCTCTCAATGCTCACACTCTAAATAAATAAATAAATAAATAAATAAATAAATTCTTTAAAAAAGAAGAGAAAAAGTTCTGAAACTTTATCCATTTTTCACATTTAATGGATAAATTCTAACTTTTGAAAAGCACAGTGTTGGGTGCTGTATTTTAAGGATCTTACCTTTCCCCTTCCAGTATGTATTTACTGAATAAACATCATTAGGGCAGCACTGAAAAGTAACTTTTTAAGAACTTTCCTCTCACCCTAGGACAGTGGCTCTAAACTCAGGGGGTGATCTTGTTCCCCATGAGACATTTGGCAAAGGATGGAGATACTTCCGGTTGTCACAGCTGGGGATATGTTATTGGCATCCACTTGGCAGAGTACATCCTGCTATGCACAGAACATCTCCCAACAACAAGAATGATCCAGCCCAAATGTCAGTGACACCGAGGTTAAGAAACCCTATCCCAACATATCAAGTTCATTTTCTGTTCTGGGTCAGCCCTTGCTCATGAGTGTACATTTTTACATAGCTGTAATGCTAGTGTACATTTTTGCCTTTCTTTTCTTCTTTATTTTATATTTTAAGCATTTAAACATTGCTACATTGCTTTCAGTTTTTTGAAAAGTATTTTCCTCCTCATTTTACTTGGGAATTGAGAAGGAAAAAATTGTGTATAACATGTTTCATATTTAAGATGGCTATAATTTTAAAATTATATTTGTGTAGAAGGGAGAAAGACGGTTAAGGTGAACAGCCTGTCTGGGTATATCAGTTTTTGTGGCCATGCTATTTACTTTTGTTCCTTAATGTCACTGTAAGACCATGAGATCCAAAACTTATCCTTTCCTCAGAGCCAAAAGATGTGCTGTAGCACGAGATATGGTCCTGGCTCCTTCATTGTACTTTGAGGGCACCTGTAAGGGAAATAAGAACAAGAAACAATGACTCTGCGCCCATTCTCCTTACCTTCTTTCCATTTAAAATTCTTTGTCTCTGTCTTAGTTTGTTTTGACAACTTTACCAACTCATTTTTTACATCTGGAAGTTGGGGTGGGGGGGCAAAAACTTTAAGATAGTTAATGAGCATTTATTCAGTATCTAGTCTGGAGAGAATAGTTTGTGTGTGTACTTTGTTATGTGGGTTATTTTACGTGCAGTTTAGATGTTAGAGCATTTATAATTCAAATAATGGATTTTTTAAAAAAGATTTATTTTATTTATTTATTTGACAGACAGAGATCACAAGTTGGCGAGAGGCAGGCAGAGAGGAGGAAGCAGGCTCCCCACAGAGCAGAGAGCCCGATGCGGGGCTCAATCCCAGGACTCTGGGATCATGACCTGAGCTGAAGGCAGCAGCTTAATCCACTGAGCCACCCAGGCGCCCCTCAAATAATGGATTTTTAAAAAAGATTTTATTTGAGAGAGAGAGAGTGAGCACGAGTCAGGGGTAGAGGCAGAGGGAGAGGGAGAAGAAGAAGCAGACTCCCTGCTCAGTGGGGAAATCGTCAGAGACTCAAAGATTGCTTCTCTCATGATAGTATATTATCTGTGGCAGTTTGCTTCTACCCCATGTATCCAGGATGGCTGCTCAAGCTTCAGCAATCTTATGTGTATTCCAGCCAGTAGAATGGAGGAAGTAGTGAGGAAGAGTGATCCCATTCCATTCAGGGCACTTCCTAGAGGTGGCGCACAATTCCATTTACAACCCCATTGGTCAGAACTTAGGCCACGTGGCTGTATCTTCCAGTAAGGCAGGCGGCTGTGTGATCATTTAAGAAACCAGTTATCTTATGCTGCGGGAAAAGGGAAGAATAAATATTGGGGGACAACTGGCAGTCTTTCCCACTAGCACTTGTGTTTGTTCTAATTTCAGTGTGTTTCTGTTTCTTTCCATTTTTTTTTTTTTTCTAGATAGAGCTGGGGCTTAGCAAAGATGGATTATTATTTAACCCTAACAACCCCATGAGGTAGGCATTGTTATTAATCCATTTTATTTGGGGGTAGATAAAAGCTTAAAGAAGTTAGGTGACTTGCTTAGTCACAAAGCTATAAAGTGGCAGAGCCAGGGTTTGAACCAAGGTATGTCAGACTCCTATATCCATGCTGTTAATCACCATGATGGTGAGAAAGGCAGAGAGCCAAAGTCAGGATTCTTAGGAATGGCAGCATCTCAAGGGGCTGTGGAAGAAGAGGAGCCCAGGAAGAACGGAGAGAAGAAAAGACCAAAGAGGTAAGAGTAAAAACAGGAGAAAGTGATGACCCAGAACAAAGAAACATTTTCAAGAGAGTAGTGCAGAGAGATCATATATAAAAATTACAGAACCATGTCCAGTTTGATTGGCATTTTGGGAGTTATTGGTAACTGACATTTTGAGTATAGTGGTAAGAACAGAAGTCAAAATGCAGTTGAGGAGGGGAGGGGAAGACAATTTGGAAAGAGGACAGTAGCTTCAGAGAAATGTGGTGGGGTTAAAGGAGGGTTATTTTTGTATCTTTATTTTTAAGACCAAAAACATCCCTTATTTTTGAGAGAGAAAGGGTGAGAGCCTGTGTGGGGAAGGGCAGAGAGAGAGGAAGAGAGAATCTTTTTTTTTTTTTAAGATTTTATTTATTTATTTGACAGACAGAGATCACAAGTAGGTAGAGAGGCAGAGAGAGAGGAGGAAGCAGGCTCCCTGCTGAGCAGAGAGCCCAACATGGGGCTTGATCCCAGGACCCTGGGATCATGACCCGAGCCGAAGGCAGAGGCTTTAACCCACTGAGCCACCCAGGAGCCCCGGGAGAGAGAATCTTAATTAGGCTCTACATCAAGCATGGAGCCCGACTCAGGGCTCGATCTCACGACCCTGAGATCATGACCTGAGCCGAAATCAGGAGTCTGACACTTAACCGACTGAGCCATGCAGGCAGCCCAAGGCCAGAAGCATCTTGAGTGAAGGGCAAGAGATCAGTAGTGAGGGAGATGATGAGTATAAAGAAAAGAAAAGAAACTTCCTTGAAGAACCAGTATGGGATGGGATCTCGAACACAGGTGAAGAGACTTGATTTGATCAGGAGGATGGAAGTCTCCTCCACTGAGCAGAGAAAGAGAACAAGGTCTCTCAGTCTCTCAAGATAAAGGCTAATACCTTGGTATAGAAGCTGACAGAGTTTTATGATGACTTTGGTTTTACTAGTGCTGTGGGAGACAATGTCATCTGAAAAGAGGGGAGAGGTGAGAGTGGTTGAAGATTGATGGGAGAGATGGAAGTTCTGAGTAGTTGCCAAGTGAAATGGTAGCAGAATCTGGCAAAGAATGCATGGACTAATCTAGCAAGACAGAAGCTTGGCTCAGGTTGCAGACCATGAATTTGTAGTGCCTCTAGTCTGCTCTCTTGTTTTATTTTTCTCTACCAGGCCTCAGCAAATTAAAATAGATAAAGAACAGTTAAATGGTCAAACTTTTCCAGGGCTGGGATTTTCAGGGAAGGTGGTTCGAGGGGCAAGATAACTGGTGATTTTGATGACAGATTGCAGTGATCAGCTGTTGGCTCCAGGCTTGAGGGGAAAAGCCAAAAGTAACTGGTAGTTTGAGAGATGTAATGGTGGAGGGACTGAGGTCTCACTGTCATTGTAGAATAAGCACAGTTTAAGAGAACAGTCACTTCAGCCCCATCAGTATGGCTTTGTTATATGTATAAAACAAATATAACAAGTATTGGCAAAGATATGACAATGGAACCCTAGCATTGTGTGGTAGGAACATAAAATGGTGCAGCTGGTTTGGAAAACAGTAGGGCAGCTCCTCAAAGATTTGTTAAACAGAGTTATAGGACAGCAACAGACAGCAATCTAGTTTAGGCATATACCCCAAACAACTGAAAGCAGGGGCTTAAACAGATACCTGTAGCCTGTGTTCACAACAGTGTTCATGCACACCAGCTGAAAAGTAGAAATAGCTCAACTGTCCATGAACCAATGAATGAATAAACAAAATGTGATACACACACACACACACACACATACAGACACGCTCACACATGCACCCATCCACGCACCGGAATCATATTCAGCCTTAAAAAGGGAGAAGGAAAATACGAGTGGGGACCAGATGATGGAAGTGAGGTGAGGAGCACAAGAATAATTTTAGCTCTAAGTCATGAGGCGAACACATGGGGTACTAAGATTCAGACCTGAATCCTTTTTTCTTTCAGCGTGAGATTCAGATGATAATTAGAATTCTATATATTGTCCACTTAAACTGCTGATGTGAAAATAACATTGAAAAATTTAGCAAGAAAGGAGAAAAATAATACAAATAATGAAGAAAGCAAAACAGTATAGTTTGTGTGGACTATCTGCAGTACAGTAATAATTACGCAGATCACTATAATTTGGTCAGATTAACTTCATTAAAAGTTGTATCTGGGGGCGCCTGGGTGGTTTGGTCGGTTAAGCGTCTGCCTTCAGCTCAGGTCATGATCCTGGAGTCCTGGGGTCGAGCCCCAAGTTGTGCTCCCTGCTCAGTGAGGAGTCTGCTTACTCCCCCACCCCTTGTTCCTCCCCCTGCTTGTGCTCTCTCTCTCTCTCCCAAATAAATAATCAAAATCTTGTAAAAAAAAAAAAAAAGCTATGTTTGATTATAACAGCGAGTCCTAGTCACAGCTAGAGATTCTAGTAACAGAGAAACACAGATAAAACTTCAATCAGAAATTTATCTTTCACCTACCATTATAGTGTAAGCTCTTTTGTAGCTTAAAGAACTGAAGATAATATTGATGACAGGCTTATATCAAGAAGTTCTGGAAGAGAACTGAATGATTTGAAAGTCACCAGAAATTTTAAGCCATATTTAGTGAGTACAGTAATCCCTTGATAGTACAGAATCAGTGAGCTCTCTAGTTTCCAGAGGAGTCCTTTTATCTCTCAAATTCAACTGAGGGGGAAAAAAACTTCTTTGGAATTTATAACTTTTCAAGGGGCCCTTGGGCAATTTTCTGATTACTAAATTGCAAACTTCAGAACTGGGCATACAGAAAAGCTTGTATTTTTTTTTTTTAAGATTTTTATTCATTTGACAGACAGAGATCACAAGTAGGCAGAGAGGCAGGCAGAGAGAGAGGAGGAAGCAGGCTCCCCACCAAGGAGAGAGCCCGATGCGGGGCTCGATCCCAGGACCCTGGGATCATGACCTGAGCCGAAGGCAGAGGCTTTAACCCACTGAGCCACCCAGGTGCCCCAAAAGCTTGTATTTTTTAAAAATACACATTTGCATTATATATAATTTCATCATTTCTTATTTTAGAAGATGTTATGAAGCTGTTCGAAATTTTAATTTTCTTTGTGTTATTGGATATTCATGTAAATGTCCATCATAACTGGATAAGATACCCGTTAATTAACAGGAGAACTAAACTACTTTGTACAGAGTCTAACTCTAGGTATACATGCATGTCAGCTTTCTTGTGTGCTCAGTTGTGTGTATGTGTGTTGTATGCATGTATGTACATACACATACACTATCTCTTTTACCAAGGGAGAAGTTCAGACAGAATATGTATTTCAACATCTTGAGAAAGAAGCGGTTGAATCCCTTGTTGCTACAGAAGAACCACTCTATTTTATTTCGTGCTTATTTCAGAACAGTGAAGACAGGCTGAGCACTGCTACCAGAAATTTAGAAGAGCTAACAGCGAAGCACATGGAAGAAATGGAAGAAGTAAGAACTAATCACATAAAGTTTTAAGATACTGTGGTTTTGTTCATTGTCCTTCATTAAACCGACATGTTAAAAACCAACATCTGAATATTACTGTGTAGTTTGCAAAAGCACTTGTATGTACTTTTTTTTCCCTAAATTGTTCCAATAGTCTGTATCCATTTCCTGTAGAGATGTACAAGATGTTACCAAGAGATGACTGGTTGGACATCCAAAGGGGTCTGCTCAAGGTGGTTTTCATTATCTTTGTAAATTCATCCTGTTTCAATAACCCACCCTTTAGCTGACTCTCTTGCTTGTCACTTGCGGGCTTGGAAACCTGATTAGTCAGCGGATCTGTTTCTCAAAGGTGACCTTATATTAACTACACTCACAGAGATGTTTGTGAAAAAATAGATACCAGCTTACTAGTGGGCAAAAGGAAATGTAATTGCCACAAGAACCAGACATGCATGTCCTGTGGCTGATGGATTCTTTCTCTACAGGTACACTGCATTACAGATGTTTACTTGCGGAACAAATATTCTAATTTTTTTTAATTTCTTTTCAGCGTAACAGTATTCATTGTTTTTGCACCACACCAAGTGCTCCATGCAATACGTGCCCTCCGTAATACCCACCAGCTGGCTCCCCCAACCTCCCACCCCCCGCCCCTTCAAAACCCTCAGGTTGTTTTTCAGAGTCCATAGTCTCTCATGGTTCACCTCCCCTTCCAATTTCCCTCAACTCCCTTCTCCTCTCCATCTCCCCTTGTCCTCCATGTTATTTGTTACGCTCCACAAATAAGTGAAACCATATGATAATTGACTCTCTCTGCTTGACTTATTTCACTCAGCATAATCTCTTCCAGTCCCATCCATGTTGATACAAAAGTTGGGTATTCATCCTTTCTGATGGAGGCATAATACTCCATAATGTATATGGACCACATCTTCCTTATCCATTCATCTGTTGAAGGGCATCTTGGTTCTAATTTTTATAGCACTGACTGAGATGGCCTGATTTCCACAATAGGTCTCTCTATACCTGCCTTTATTTCTGGACCTTTTATAGACTAGAACGTGGCAGGGTATCTAGCTAGCCCTTAGAGGAGTAGATAGTAACATCTTTTGACTTTCTTATCACTCTTTTGGTGTTTCCAATACTGGGTAACCTACTTTTTTTTACATATTCTTTCTTTAAATGAGTTAAGAAATTCTCTCAAGTTGCTTAGAAATCATTCTGTTGTGTTTCAGCATCTCAGCTCAGATAGGCAACTTACTGATGTTTAAATTTAACTTTTAGAGGACAGTGTGATTTCCAAACTCTTAAAGAAGAATGCAGCTCCTTTAGAACAAAAGCAGGACAACATAATAAACCATGAACTTTAACATTAGGCAAATGGATGTGAAAAATTGCCTTTAGTACTGTCTTTCTGTGTAGCCTTGGGCAAGTTAGTTAACTTCTTTGAACTTGACATTCCTCATAGGTAAGATGGGGATGATTACCTCTTCAAAGAGATGTGTGAGGTTTACACAGGTTAAGGTCCATAAAACATTTCACGCACAGGTGCTTGACTCCTAGCAGATATTCAATCAATTACAGCTGTTAATTATTAGAAATAGGTGTTATTGTTCCTGCCATTTTGAAGAGAAAGAAACTGAAGATTAGCAGGAAGTTATGAACTTGGGTGGCAGTGCCGAGTTACTTCTGCTATATACCATTCAGCTCTTTGTTCATTTTATGAGGGGTTGTGCAATAGATTTCAACACAATTCAGCAAAATGCAATTACTTTGTTAGCATACTTTTTTTTTTTAAAGATTTTAAAAAAACATTTATTTGACAGAGAGAGATCACAAGCAGGCAGAGACTAGGCAGAGAGAGAGAGGGGGAAGCAGGCTTCCTGCTGAGCAGAGAGTCCGATGCGGGGCTCGATCCCAGGACCCTGTGATCATGACCTGAGCGGAAGGCAGAGGCTTAACCCACTGAGCCACCCGGGCACCCCATGTTAGTCTACTTTTAAGCAATTTCACAGATAGGTAAGAGCTTAGCCTCTGGGTGTAGCCCTGCTGAGTGTGAAGTCTAGCTCCTCTCCTTATTTTCTGCATGACAGTGCAAATTTCTTGGCCTCTTAACAGCCTGCTTCTTCCCCTATAAAGTGGGAGGATAACAGTCTCAGAGGATTGTGGTGAAAATGAAATATTTGATGTCCTTAATACAGTGCCTGGGGCATTAAGCTAGCTTTTAATCTATTATTATGAGCCACATAAAAGTGCCTTTTATGAAGTTACCATATTAACCAAAAGCTATTTTTAAAAATACCCCGTATTTTAGTACAATATTCTATTAACATTTCAGACATCTTAATCATCATTGTTAGCACAGGACGGTAAACAATTATTGTGGAGATTTTTCTCTGTTTGTGGGTATCACGCTATATTGCCTATACCGTAGATAAGGAGACTTGATTTGAAACCTGGCAAGTTAATGGAAAAAAAAATTAGAGATTGTGACTGTCCCAGAAATTTGTAAAGCTGTGTCATCATATCTATGGGTAACAGTGTCTGATAAAATGAAACGGCTGGAAGGAAGTTTAGGGAGGGAGTCTCACACTTAAGGAAAGCCAAGTTTCTGTTTATTTCTTAGATTATAGACAGGATCGTTTGGTGATCTCTCAACGATTCTTTCACTTCATAGATTTGATATGGGTTACTGGGTGAATCACGGACTAAGAGTAAGAAAAAATGTATTATTTTCTTTTTAGGTGGAAAAGTATGTAAACCATGTCCATAACTTAACAGAGGAAAGAGAAGCATCGTCTCACAGTTGTGAAGAGGAAAACAAAGAGCTTAGAAATGTGGTTAAAGAGCTCCAACTGAAACAGGGTATGTTTCCCTTTTGTTAACAGTGTGAAGCTTATTTTTTTTTTCTACTTCTAGAAAGAACATGTGACAATTATAGAAATTTGGGAAATGTATAAAAGTAAAAGGAAGGGGGAAAATTATAATCTTCCACTCCAAGAAAAGTACTTATCCTGTTTGAGTGTATTTTCTGCCTGGTCTTTTTTTTTAAAGATTTTTATTTATTTATTTGACAGACAGAGATCACAAGTAGGCAGAGAGGCAGGGAGAGAGAGAGAGGAAGGGAAGCAGGCTCCCTGCTGAGCAGGGAGCCCAGCACGGGGCTCGATCCCAGGACCCTGAGCTCATGACCTGAGCTGAAGGCAGAGGCTTAACCCACTGAGCCACCCAGGCGCCACGTGCCTGGTCTTTTTAAACTAACTGTTCTGAAATAGCCGGGAATGTGTGTGAGAGAGGACAAGATGGTTATTTCCTCCAATGTCTATTCTAGCACTTAACACACTGTGTCACAGTGACCTGTGTCAGCTCCACTGGGGCAGAGATCATGCCCTGGTCTTAGTAGTTTCTGGGTTTCCCACAGCACCTGCCTTGTAAAGCGCCTAGCATATTAAGGACTCAGGAAATATTTATTAAGTACTACAAAGCTGCAAGGGAGAACATGGATAGGACCCCTTTAGAATATTCTAATATTCTGCTGATGGAAGTTTTTTCTTTATTTTGAATATCAGGTTTGGAAAGGTTGAGTTAAGCATAGGACCTATTTCATATGTACTGCACTCTTGTTTCATTGATTTTCCTGTCTTCTTTTCCACTGAATATACGGAGTTTTCTTCTGCTGGTTTAAAAGTTTGCATTCTATTTTTGTCTGTATGGTGGTTGCATTTTTAAGAGTTTTCAAATTTCTTCTGGCATTCTTAGTTATTCTCAGCAAAAGGGTTGTTCAGGGCCCTAATCTGCCATTCTGTGAGAAATGGAAGATACTTTGTGTCCTGCTGCCAGTATGAATTAGTTTATGAAGGATTGGTAAATAGGGGAATTATGTCATTTTATTGTTATTTATTTATTTATTTTTAAAGATTATTTAAAAAAAAATTATTTATTTATTTATTTATTTGACAGAGACACACACACACACACACACACACACACACACATACACAATGAGAGAGGGAACACAAGCAAGGGGAGTGAAAGAGGGAGAAGCAGGTCTCTTACAGAGCAGGGAGCGCAACACGGGGTTCCATCCCAGGATCCTGGGATCAGGACCTGGGCCAAAGGCAGATAGATGCTTAAGGACTGAGCCACCCAGGCTCCCCTGAATTAATGTCATTTTAATGCAGAAGTTCATATACAGTGTACCCCAGCATGTTAATGATTTGAGCTAATCAGCAAGGCTTGGAGTTCATACATGAAGTTCATTTGTCCCACATTCTTCTCTGGGACTCAGTTCGGCCACATGTTTCTCCTGGGAAGTGCTTATTGCAAAGGTAGCCCTAATCTTTGTGCCTTTGGCTTTGTTTCCATAACTCCGCAGACTCAGCTCTTTGAGCTCACCTTTATAGCAAGTCTGAGTTTTTAAAGAAAGACAAAAGTCCTATATTTACTATAGTATTTATTTTTTAGGAATTTGATATATCTCTTTAAGTGTACCAGTGTAATTATTAGGATTGTCGGTGTTTTTATAGCACTCTCATTGCACAATGACAGAAATTTAGAATTGTCTGTACAAATCTGGGTTTTCAATAAGCTTCATTACTTTTAGTGAGCAGTTTGCAAAATACAAGTTTATTTTAGGAGCATCAAACTTAATCACTTGAGAAATGCTTATATAATTAAACAGTATTTTTTGAAGGTAGAAATAATATGATTTGTAATGAATTTAATGTTGGGTCGGAGAAAAGGGGAGAAATCATTGGTGACCCAATGCTTTCTGGCCTGAGCAGTTGGAATATTAGAGTTACAGCTACTTAGGTTAAGGAGGCTATGGGAAGACATTTGGGAAAGACAGTAAAGAATTTGCTTTTGGACATGTACCTTTAGATGCATGTATTAGACATCCCAGTGGAAATGTCAAGTACACAATGTTGTATGTTTGGAAGGCACTGCATGCTAGAGCAGTGAATCTGAGAGTCATCAGCAAATAGCCAACACTTAAAGCCTTGGGACGATAGGCGATTACCTGGGGAATGAAAAGAAGACTGGGCCCTGGGCATTTCTATGTTTATAGAGGTTGGAAAGGTGAGAAATTAGCCAAGAAGTCTGAGAAGGAGTGGCATGCATGACAGGAGGAAAACCAACAGTGTGTGGTGTCCCAGAGAGACATGATGAAAGCATGTTGTCTTTGAGATAAGTGGGAATGGAAGTGGGAATGGGATCCAGCACACAAGGGGAGAGTGTGGCCTTAGGAGCAAGGATAGTTTGTTAAATCTCACAAGAGGGAAGAGTATGTGGGAATTGGCAGATTTGTTAAGGAGAGTTTGTGGAAGCTGGAGTGCTGCTTTTTTCTCAGTGAAATAAGAAGGGGGTATTCAGCTGAGAGTGAGGATGGGGAAGGAGGCGTTGGAGACTGGAGGAGAGAGAGGAATCAAATAATAGTCTAGATCGCTGGAAAATGAGAGAGAGAATTCCAGGGACCTGTGGGAGGATTGGCGGACAATAAGGACCCACTTGAGGTGAGTAGACACGAATTTAGGTGAAATCAATCAGCACTGGCTGTGCAGTTTTCTCCAGCTACACTTTGCTTCTGGAGTGAGGGGCAGGAGAGGTGAAGGGTTGGTTTGCGGGCTAGAGTTCTGTCAGCCAAGAATAATGGAAGGAAAGAGGGGCATGTGTATGTTTTCAAGGGGGGAGGTGATTATGATGATGAATTGCTTAGATGAATCTAAGAAAGTAAATGGGAATGGGAGTGGGATAAGGAACATTGAAAAGGGTTTAAAGTTAGTGGATTATAGTTGTCAGTATAGTCAAAAACTTGTTGACATCTAGCTACTAGACGAAGTATATAGGAAATGGTGATTGGAGACTGGGATGCTTGAAATTGAGACTGGGGAGTTGCTGCTAACAGCAAGGTCTAGAGAATTACTGTGGAGTAGGGACTGAGATGGGGTGGAGGACTCAATCTTTGGAAGTTAGTTGGCGAGACTGAGAAGCCAGGGCACTAGAATAATCTACCTGAATATTGAAATCACCAAGAATTTTGGCAGGACTAGTTAAGTAACCTTACACAAATTGGTTGGCTTGTTGGTGCCTACATCCTTGTCTCATAAAGGATAATCATGTTTCCTACCTCAGTGAATTGTTGCACAGATTAGATGACATAAATTTATCTTAAGTGCTTGGTATAATACCTAGCACATAGTAAGCACTCAACAAAACATCAATATTTAAAGTTATATAACATTAAGAATATTTACTGCTTTTGAGAACCCTTTTCCACTACTTTTTTGGTTATTTTCTTTTCTGAAAGTTTGCAGACGCCCTGAAGGGATGGGCAGAAGAGTGGTAGTAGCAATATAGCTGATTTTTTAAAAATTAACTTGCTATTTCATTAAGAACACATTTAACATTTTATAACAGCAATTATTTGCCAGCATTTCTTTTAACAGCTTTGTTTCTGTTATTTCTTCCTAACAGAAGTGCGAATAAAAGAGATTGAAGAAATGTTGTATAAAGAGGGCTTATCTGAAATAGCTCTGAGCAGCCCCAGTGAACAGATTATATACTTATTGGTAGAAAGAAGTACACTCTTGAGGAAACTGGAAACTGGGAGCCCCAAACCAGAGTCACAAAGATGTATGACCAGTAACCTACAGAAAGGACTTGCCCAGGTATTCTGAAATTAACTAGATAATTGAATAAGAGTCAGGCCAGTTTTTTATTTGTTTGTTTGTTTCTTTAATCATTCATTCATTAAATTATTAGGAAGCCAGTTTTTTTTTTTTAAATTTTATTTATTTATTTGACAGACAGAGATCACAAGTAGGCAGAGAGAGAGGGGGAGGCAGGCTCCCCACTGAGCAGAGAGCCTGATGCGGGGCTCGATCCCAGGACCCTGGGATCATGACCTGAGCTGAAGGCAGAGGCTTAACCCACTGAGCCACCCAGGTGCCCCTAGGAAGCCAGTTTTAATAATGCTTCAGTAAGTTGGTATTTTTTTTTTTTTTACAGATTTACTTATTTATTTGAGAGAGAAAGTACTTGTCCAAGTGAGTGGGGGAGGGGCAGAGAGAGAGGGAGAGAATTCTGAAGCAAACTTCCTGCATGCCCTGGAGCCAGATGTGGGGCTCGATCTAAGGGTCCTGACCTGAACCAAAGCCAAGAGCTGTCCACTCAACCGACTTTGCCAAGGCACCGCGAGTATATAGGTTTCATTTTTGGATGGATTTCTCTGCCACTTGTTCTTGGTATGAACTTGAGCAAGTTAGTTAACTTTTGTGAGCGTTGATTTTCTCATCTATAAAATCTGGGATTGACTCAACTACTCCACAAGGCTCTCATGAAAATGAAATAACATATATAAGGCTCTCAAATAGTACCTCACACATTAATTAGCATTATTGTGGGGTTTTTTTTCCTCCACAGAAATCTGTAGTAAAAGGTGAAAAATTTATGCCATCTGAAGAGAAACCGGAGTATTAATTAGCATTATTGTTATTGTTTATTGAGAACTTTCCATGTGCCAGGCTCTGTGCCAGCGAATGTAGAAACACAGTCGAGTTAGACATGATTTGGACTTGCAAGCTTACAAGCTAATGGAGAAAAGAAAAAAGCCAGTGATTATAGTTCAGTGTGTAAAGTCCCTTGATAAAGGAAGGCCTAGAAGGTTCGAGAAACTCAGAGGAGGGTCTGAGTCAGATGTAATGGGTCAGGGAACTGAAAAGCCTTCCAGAGGAGATGTTGAGTAGTATTTTGAAAACTGAGTATGTGTTAGCTAGATAAAGAAGCTAGGAAAGGCATTCCTGGCAGAGGAAACAGTATATATCACAGACTGGTTAATGTGAGTAAATGCTGAAAAATGTGGCTGGAGATATTTTCAGGAACCACATCATGGTGAGATTCATATGCTAAGCTAAAGTTTGGACTCAGCACCCAGCAATGTTCCTGAACCATACTAGGGGCATAAACACTTTTTTCTTTTTTTTAAGATTTTATTTTTCAGTAATCTCTAAACCCAGCATGGAGCTTGAACCTACAACGCCAGGATCAAGAGCTGCTGGCTACAAACCTTCTGAGGCAGCCAGGTGCCCTAAGGCATAAAAACATTTGATGGACTTTGTTATAGATGGTCTGGAGAGTCACACTAAATAATTTTAAGAGGAAAGAGTAACATTCTGATTCATGTTATTACAAAATCTGGGATTTTGGTTTTTGGTTGTATTGAATCAGTTTAAGAGGAATTTACTATCAGGACTCCTAGGTGGCTAAGTCGGTTGGGCGTCTGCCTTTCGCTCGGGTCATGATCCCAGGGTCCTGGGATCGAGTCTCAAACGGGGCTCTTTGCTCAGTGGGGAGCCTGCTTCTCCCTCTGCCTGCTGTTCCCTCTGCTTGTGCTCTCTCTCTCTGACAAATAAATAAATAAAATCTTAAAAAAAAAAAAAAAAAAGAGGAGGGGCACTGGGTGGTTCAGTGTGTTGGGCCTCTCTGCCTTGGGCTTGGGTCACCTTCAGCTTGGGTCATGATCTCAGCGTCCTGGGATTGAGCCCGCATTGGGCTCTCTGCTCAGCGGGGAGCCTGCTTCCCCCCACCCGCCTCTGCCTGCCTCTCTGCCTACTTGTGATCTCTCTCTTTCCGTCAAATAAACAAATAAAATCTTAAAAAAAAAAAAGAGGAATTTGCTATCTTAAAATATTGATGTGATCTGTGATCATAGAATATCCATATATTTTTTCATGTATATAAGTAAAGTTTTATGATTTTCCCCACAAAATCTTACACTTGTTGTTAACATTTATTCCTAGGTATTTCATATTTTTGGATGCTATTAAGCTATCTTTTTAAAAAGGATTTAATTTTCTAACTATCTATTGCTGGTATTTAAAAGTATAATTATTTTATATAATGACCAACACTTAACATTGTTGCTAAAACTTCCTATTCATTTTACATATTTATTTATAAAATAAGTAAATAATAAATATTTTAAATTTATTTTTGCTCTTTATTTTTATTTATTTATTTTTTTAAGTAGGCTCCACACCAAATGTGGGGCTTAAACTCACAACCCTGAGGTCAAGAGTCATGTGTTGGGACGCCTGGGTGGCTCAGTTGGTTAAGCAGCTGCCTTCGGCTCAGGTCATGATCCCAGCGTCCTGGGATCGAGTCCCACATCAGGCTCCTTGCTCGTCAGGGAACCTGCTTCTCCCTCTGCCTCTGCCTGCCATTCTGTCTGCCTGTGCTCGCTCTCTCCCTCTCTCTCTCTCTGACAAATAAATAAATAAAATCTTTAAAAAAAAAAAAAAGAGTCATGTGTTTACTGACTGAGCCAAACAGGCACCCCTCTTATTCATTCTAATAATTTTTTTGACGAATTAAAATATTTTCTACCTATACAATGATATTATCTGAGAATAATGATACTTTTGTTTCTTCCTTTTCAGTCCTTATTCCTTTTAGTTCTTTTTTTTTTTTTAAGATTTTATTTATTTGACAGACAGAGCTCACAAGTAGGCAGAGGGAGAGGAGGAAGCAGGCTCCCCGAGGAGCAGAGAGCCCGATGTGGGGCTCAATCCCAGGACCCTGGGACCATGACCCGAGCCGAAGGCAGAGGCTTAACCCACTGAGCCACCCAGGCGCCCCGCTTTTAGTTCTTTTTCTTGCCTTATATTGGCTAGGTTCTTTACTGTTATCTTGAAGTTAGTATTATTATTAGTATGATCTAGCTTTATCATTTTGTTATTAATATTGGAGAAAGCATTTAGTGATTCACTATTATGTATGATGTTTGCTGAAGGTTTTGTTTCAAATGGTAGTGTTTATTTATTATTTATTATTTACCCTCTTATTCCTAGTTTGCTAAGAGCTTTTATTAGGAACCAGTGGTGAATATTATAAACTGTTTTTTTGTAGCCATCGATTATGAAATAATTTAGAACTTGAATCTGTAAATGAGAGAATTTCATTGATTTGTTTTTCTAACGTTAAACCTGTTGTTGCATTGCTGGGACGAATCCAACTTGTTCATGATATGTTATCCTTTCTAGATATTATAAGATTATTTTTGATAAAATTTTGTTTATGATTTTTAATCTACGTTTATGAATAAGAAGATTGCCCTGTGATTTTTCTTTCCCCTGTTATCTTTGTTGGGTTTTGTTTTTTTTTTGTTTTTTTTTAAAGATTTTATTTATTTATTTGACAGACAGAGATCACAAGTAGGCAGAGAGACAGGCAAAGAGAGGGGGAAGCAGGCTCCCTGTGGAGCAGAGAGCCCGATGCTGGGCTCGATCCCAGGACCCTGGGACCATGACCTGAGCCAAAGGCAGAGGCTTTAACCCACTGAGCCACCCAGGTGCCCCTGTTGGGTTTTAATCTCAAGGTTTGGCTAGCCAGTGTTAGCCAATCATTTTTCATTATTGCCTCTATAATGACACTTTTTAGATAATTTTTCCCAATCACTCCCCCATGAAATTTTAACATTACTGTAGAGTTCTGTGTACTGTAGGCATATCATGCTTTGTACATAAAAAGAGTAAGATTTTTTTTGTCCCCATAGGAACCAATTTTCATTCCCTTGGGTGTGATATTGTCTCATTGAAAATGCATTGCCTAAGCTCATAAAATGGATTGGACTGTGCTCTCTTTTTTTTTTTGCTTTTTAAAAAAAAATTTAAATGACATTTATGAAGACTGACTGATGTAAGTTTCATTTATCTCATTATTTATTTAGGAGAAATTTGAGCAAATTCATCAGCCTCTGCAAAGAGAACATGAGAAATATCAGGTACCTGTGTGGCAGCCTGGAAAAACTCTGAGTGAGGTAAAAAAAAAAAAAAAAAGAAAAGAAAAAAGAATCCTTTGATTAGTAATAGCAGCTAATTACACATTAGCTTTTTTTTTTTCATATAAACATATAATGTATTATTAGCCCCTGGGTACAGGTTTGTGAATTGCCAGGTTTACACACTTCACAGCACTCACCATCGCACATACCCTCCCCAAAGTCCATAACCCCACCACCCTCTCCCGACTCCCCTCTAACACATTAGCTTTTAACAAGTATTTTGTTTGAATATATTAAAATATAAATCCATGCTGTGAAGATTATAGAATTGTACATAAATGTATAAATACATCACAAAGATTTGGGAAGAAAAAATAAATAGCTGATTTTTTTTGAATGTATAAAAATTTAAAATCAGTGTGTGTTATATCCTTTGAAAAATCACTTTGGGAAAATCCTTCCCAAATATGTTTGGAGTCCTTTATTTTGGATAGTCCTTTAATATATATAGCACATTATTTTAAGTATAACCAATTCTCTTCATGGAATTAAATTTTTTGCTCTGGGGAAATGTTATTACGTGCTAAATCCAGCAAATAAAGTATATGCTAGGAATTTAACCACAGGAAGTAACCCAAGATAAATGTATAAGGATAAAACTGTATATCATAGTATTATTTTAGATAGCAAAAATTGGAAACTACCAAATGTTTAAATGATTATATAAATCATGTGACACCCACTACAGAACATTATATAGCCTTTAAAAATTATCATTACAAAATCTGTACAATTTTTGTGGGAATGTTTCTCATATAATGTTAAATGAAAAAGAGAAGTACAGAGATTAGGATTATGACTATGTGAAAATGTATACAAATAAAAAATACTGCAAGGATTTATACCGATGTGCTAGAAGTGGTTTTGTTATGCAGATGGTATTTTGGTTGTCTTCTTGTCTTTTAGAAATATTTGTATGATAATTATATAAATTAATACATATTTGGGGGATCAAAAGCAAGATATAATTGAGACTGAATTTCTTAACTTTTAAAATGCTTTGAAAATAATTGCAGAAAAGGAGCTGTAAACATGATTTGAGTGTGTGCATACCTTGACATTTAATGAAATATTCCATGTGAAAACATTTTGTAAACTGTATTTAATGGGCCATACACATGAAGAGTTTTTTTCTCTTTTTCGCCAGATGATACTCACTTTTATGATAAAATTTCTATTTTTTATAATCACATAACCATAAACTCTTAGATATATTAGGTTGAACTATAAGAAGTTGTATGTTCATAGCTGAAAAAATCAAATGTCACCAATTTTACATGGTTTCACTTAATAAAAGAAATGCATACAAATGAAATATTGTTTGCTGTTTTTCTTTGTTAGCTTTCAAATGCTTGTGGGAAATAGTGCAGTGTTATAAGAGTACATTTAATTTTTGTTTTATTACTAACAACACTTTTATTTCAGTCCCGTAATGAAGACCTGGAAAAAGATAAAACTTCACAAAACTGCCTGGAGAGAAATGGAGAAGAAGCAGCAGAGAAGTTAGGGATGGCCCAGAAAGAGATCCGAAGGCTCACTGATGAGCTACAGGAGAAGGAGAAAGAACAGGGGAAATTAGGTAAGCTATGGTTGCAGAGGAACGGTTTTGATGATGCTTTAAATGTAATTGATCTTTTCTCAGGGCGGAACATGAGTACATTGAGGGAAAAAAATCTAAAACACATAAAGTTTGATAAACAGCTTCTTTTTGTACAGTGACCAGAAATTTCTACTGAAGCATAAGCATAATATACCTACCCAAACACGCACAACTCTTGAGTGTACATCATGGGGTGCAAGGCGCTCCCAGCATTCCAGAGCCTCCTTTGTTTCTTCTCGTTAGGTCTACACCCTCTCCCACCCAGAAGGAACCACTATCCTGACTTTTCACACTCTTTTGGAGTTTTGACTGCAGGCAATATGCATTCTTGAATTTAGTTTCTTTTTTTTTTTTTTTTAAAGATTTTATTTGTTTGACAGAGACAAACAGCGACAGAGGGAACACAAGCTGGGGGAGTGGGAGAGGGAAAGGAGGCTTCTGAGCAGGGAGCCCAATGCGGGGCTCGATCCCAGGACGCTGGGATCATGACCTGAACCAAAGGCAGATGCTTAACGACTGAGCCACCCAGGCACCCCTAGTTTGCTTCTCTTGTTCAATCTTACGTTGGTGAGATTGGCTCATGTTTTTGCATATAGCGGCACTTTGTTTACTTATGCTGGTTGTATAATAGTCCGCTGAATGAACACACTACCATTCATTTTATCTGGCCGTTCTACTGTTGATGGACATCTGTGTTGCTTCCAGTTGTGCTCTCTGTATGAATAGCGCTGCTAGGAATATTCTTAGACTTACCAACACATTTCTCATTGTGATAGACCTAATGATTGGATCAAAGGGTTATGTGCATATTCTACTTTGGTAGATAACTGTTACAGTGTCTTCCAATAGTTGTATCAATTTAAGCTTGCTTCAGTTGAATACTGAATCTCAGTTGTTACTGCGATTTTGGTTGCTCCACATTCTTTGTCAGTATTTAGCATCGTCAGTCTTTTTATCTTGGCCTTTTCTGGTAAGTGTGTCATCGTATTTAGTGATGGCTTTCATTTGCATTTTCCTGATGGCTGATGAAGCTGAAAACCCTGTCATCATTTCTTGTTACTCTTGTCGTTGCTCATTTGGATACACTATTTTGTGAAGTACCTGCTTAAGTCTCCTGTACTTTTTCAATTGGATTGTATCTTTTATTAATTTGTAAAAATTCTTTATATACTCCTGGAGCACCTGGCTGGCTCAGTCTGTAGAGTATTTGACTCTTGATCTCAGGATCATGAGTTCGAGCCCCACATTAGGCATAGACATCACTTATTAAAAAAAAAAAAAACACTTAAAATTCTTTATATATTATGGATATGAGCCTTCTGTTGGTTATAAATGTTGTGTTGGGGGGTTTTGCCATAAAGAAATGCTAATATGTATCAAGTTGGGTTTAACAGAGTTATTCTGTAGTGCTTCTGGGTTTTCATGTATAAAAGCCTTTTCTATATCACTACAAGGTTTTTGAAAGTGTTCATCTCTATAGTGTTTTATTGTGCTTTTATGGTTTCATTGTTTATATTTAAATCTTCCCTTTATCAATAATTTATTTTAGAATAAAGTTTAAACTTTAAAAATTATCCCCTTTCTATATTTATAATTTACAATGATTAAGAAATTGGGCCAATTTTCAAATGCAGTATATAGGTTACTTTAGGATCATATCTTTAAAGTATTAAATGTTAAAATAGTAATGATTCTGCAAAATTGACGTGGATTTAAAAACAAAGCATATCAGAAGGGTTGAGATTTTGTTAAGAATGTGTTTTAGACAGTGAACACAAATGAAATTTTTGGAATATGGAATTGTTCTATATCCTGATAAGGTTGTCAAAATTCACTGAACTGTACACCTAAAAGGGTGAATTTTACTGTATATAAGCTATACACCCAATTTAAAAAAAAAAAAAGAAATTTGGCTATGGAGTATGAGGAGAAACAGTCTCTGCTCCTTGCAATACAGAAGGAGAAAGGAAAACCAGGACCCCCATTCCCCTTAGTTACATTTGGACACAACAGACCATCATCACACGGCCCCCTCTTCCATGGTCAGTCTGGTAGCTCCTAAACTACTAACTGAAAACTGTCTCCGCAGTAAGTATACTGGGGCACTGTTGGGAAGCTAAATTAGCAAGTCCTTTAAAAAACACATGTACTATCAAAAAATAAAATAAAATAAAATAAAATAAAATATATTAGTACCAATGTATGCCCTGTGTATAACTTCTTGAGTCATCAGTTTCTAAGTTAGAATGTATTTCTGGGTAACTGTGTTTACCATTAGCCTACTTCTTTCACTAAACTCTTTTATTTATTTATTTATTTTTAAAGATTTTTATTTATTTGAAAGAGAGAGCAGGAACAAGGGGGAGGGGCAGAGGGAGAAGGCAAAGCAAACTCCCCTCTGAGCAGGGAGCCTGATGTGGGGCTGGACCCCAGGACCCTGAGATCATGACCTGAGCTAAAGGCAGATGCTTAACTGACTGAGCCACTCACGTGCCCCCAAAATGACTTTTTTGGATGAAGTTATCCAGTTTATTTTCTAACTCGCTCTGTATCATATCCAAAAAATTTGGATGGGAATTAAAAATTTTGGATAATAACAAAGATATTTTTTAAGAATAAAAAAGAATTCATGTCAAATATTCAGAGTATTCTTCAATAAGTTGAAAGAAAAAGATGATTTTTTTTTAAATTTAAAGGAATTATTAACCAATTGTAATGTGGCCTTTACTGGACACTGATTCAAACACATTTGTAACATTTGTAAAATAATTGGAAATGTGGATATGTACTGGATATATAAAAAATTGTTAAATTTCCTGAACCACACATGGCGTTTAGGTTTAAAAAGAGTTCTTTGGGGCACCTGGGTGGCTCAGTCATTAAGCGTCTGCCTTCCGCTCAGGTTGTGATCCCAGGGTCCTGGGATAGAGCCCCATGTCTGGCTCCTTGCTCAGCAGGGAGTCTGCTTCTCCCTCTCCCACTCCCCCTGCTTGTGTTCCCTCTCTCACTGTGTCTCTCTCTGTCAAATAAATAAATAAAATCTTTAAAAAATAAATAAATAAAAATAAAAAGAGTTCTTGTCTTGCAATTTAATATGAAGTAAAATAATGAACAATATTTAAAAAGAATTCTTATCTTTTAGAGATATATAGTGAAATATTTATAGATGAGTGATATGGTTTCTGGGATTTGCTTTTAAAGGCCTTTACATCATACCCACACAAAAATTAACTCAAAATAGACTACAAAGCTAAATGTAAGAGTTAAAACTATGAACGTCTCGGAAGAAAACAGTAAACCTTAATGATCTTGGATTAGGCAATGGTATGTTAATTCAGCACCAAAAGCAAACACGGTAAGAAATCCAAGATCATCTCTAAGAGTCCCACTTGGTGTACACATAACTTTTCCCAGTTATTCAGTCAAATACAATATAGATACTCCTGTGAAAAGCCTTTGCAGGTGTGGTTAAGGTCCCAAATCAGTTGCCTTTAAGAAAGAGAGATTATCCTGGATGAGACTGACCTGATCAGATGAGCTCTTAAAAGGGGTTAGTTTTTTTCCTGGTGAAAGATATTCAAAGTGTGAGAAGGATTCAATGTGAGGGAAATTCTCTTTTGCTGACTTTGATGATGGAGGAGACCAAGTGGCCAAGAACGTTGGTTGCTTCTAAGAACTCAGAGAGCTTCCTGGCTAACAGTAGCAAGGAGATGGTGACTTCAGTTCTAAAACCGTGGGACCAAATTCAGCCTGTAACCTGAATGAGCTTGGAGATGGATTCTTTCCCGAAGCTTCAGAGAGGAACACACCCACCTCACACCTTGATTTTAGCCTCATAAGACTCTTATCAGAGAACTCAGCCATACCATTTCTGGACTTCTGATCTACAAAACTGTTGGCTGAAAGATGGATGTTGTTTTAAATCACTAAATTTGTGATGATTTGTTGTACAGCGTTAAAAAACCATTTAAGTATGTAATATTTAAGTATGTAAATGAAACAAGATTGACTATAGCTTGACAATTGTTAAAAGCTGGATGATAGATATAGGTATTTCCATAACTGTTCATAACTTCTTTATCTACTTTTATATATGTTTGAAATTTTCCATAATAAAAAAGTTCCCCCCAAAATTATCGAGGGTAACCACTAAAGGAATAGACTTAAAAAGTAAAACTGTCAAACAATAGAGAGATCTCAGAAACTTACAGCCAACACAGTTTTAGAAATATTACTAGTTTAAGAGTCATGATAGAGAGCTATGATTTTCAAGTATCTGCATAAACATGGCAGGAGAAGCTAACTTGGCAACATGAGTTAATGTAGTTGGTGGTCTCTGATATATCTGAGTTTGGTATATGATATATTTGGCTGTATGTTGTTTTTTTTTTTTTTTAAGATTTATTTATTTATTTATTTGACAGAGAGAGATCACAAGTAGACCGAGAGGTAGGCAGGCAGAGAGAGAGGGGGAAGCAGGCTCCCTGCTGAGCAGAGAGCCCGATGCGGGACTCGATTCCAGGAACCTGAGATCTTGACCTGAGCCGAAGGCAGCGGCTTAACCCACTGAGCCACCCAGGCGCCCTGGCTGTATGTTTTATTGTGAAAATAGGTTGTTTGGGTTTTTTTTTAAGTGGAAATCTAATCAAATGTTTGCAGAACTTCTCAATTACTTCCTTGGTAATTTAAACTTCCATAAAAAATTTATTCTGTAAAATAAATTCTCAACTCTCTAAGGCCTTTCTGGTTTGGCCCTTGCCTGTCTATCCAGCTTCATATCCCACATTTCCCATAACCCTTTGCACTGTAGGCCTAAGCAATATTAGACTACATGTTCCCAGAGCACTCAGTGTTTTCTCCTACCCTCTCCCCTCCACGTATGCTTTCCCTCTTTCTGGAACACCCTTCCACCAGCTATCATTCTACTCCCTCTCCTTCCATAGATGAACACATCACAAAGCCATAGTTTTAGTAAAACAGCACTATTCTCACATCTCTGGCACAGTGTACTCAAACAGACCTGAGTGCAGGTCCCAGCTTTACCATTTACTAGTTGTGTGACACTGAGCCAGTTGTTTACTTTTCTGAGCTTTCCCTTATCTATAAAATGGGGGTGCTAATATTTACTTCAAAGATTTATTATAATGTTAATATGTCTGAGACTAATAGCTGGTGCCATTGATAGCAGTGGCAGGTATAGTATGGTTATGGTCAGAAATATAATTTTAGCTGAATCTGGTAGATTAGACTGTGATTTACTCCAAAGAATTGAGTGCTTTGAGAGTAATAACAAAACATGCACAATTGTGCCGATGTATTTACTTCGTGATAGGAATAATCTCTTATAAGGTTCACGTTAGTCTTTTATTTCTGGGAGGTTCTTTATCCTGACATAGGAAACCCACCAAACATATCACTGGTAATGACTAGATCCCAGGAGGCAAAGTGATAAAACCTGGATTAAAGAACCCAAATCCAATTGACTCCAGTGTCCCATGCTCTTGCCCTGTACCATTCTGCCATCTTCACATAATTCTTAAATAGTATCCAAAGGTATTTCCTGAAATTTTGTTGTCTTGATATTTCTAGCAACTACTGATAAAATTCTTTTTTAAAAAAAGATTTCTTTTATTTTACTTAGAGCACATGTATGGGGCAGGGGAGGGGCAGAGGGAGAGAAAGAGAGAGAATATCAAGTGGACTCCTTGTTGAATGCAGAGCCCAATGTGGGGCTTGATCTCATGACCCTGAGATCATGACCTGTGCCAAAATCAAGAGTTGGATGCTGAGCACTATTGGTAAAATTCTAAGTATTACTAATTGTAAGAATTAATTTTGAGTATTTCTGAGTGTCAGGGCGCCTGGGTGGCTCAGTGGGTTAAAGCCTCTGCCTTCGGCTCAAGTCATGATCCCTGGGTCCTGGGATCAAGCCCCGCATCGGGCTCTCTGTTCAGCAGGGAGCCTGCTTTCCCCTCTCTCTCTCTGCCTGCCTCTCTGCCTACTTGTGATCTCTGTCTGTCAAATAAATAAATAAAATTTTAAAAAAAAGTGTTTCTGGAGTGTAATTAAAGCTGATAGTACCATGCTTAAAAAGTTGAGTTGCTCCTATTGATTATAGTGGTCCAAGATCTTCAACATGGACTCTAGTTAGGGAAACAGTAATATTATGAGATCACATAATCAGGAATAATGATAGGGTGCAGTAGGAGCACTAAGAGGATGCATCTGGAAAAGTTTCCTGGAGGTGACATTTATGTAGAAACTCAAAGGACAATCAGCAGAAAGGGAGTGTTCCAAAAAAAAGAGAATAATTTTAAATGTGATCATCACACTAACCATTTGCTCCTTACAGAAATATTTTCTTGTTTCTTTAGATTCTGCACTTCAGAAGGCTCAGCTAGAAATTGAGAAACTGAAAGAAAATTTGACAAAGCTGAAAGAAAAAGGTGAGCCGTGCATGTTAGCAGATATATTTAATATATATTAATAGCATAAATTTATTTTACATGTTTTAACATAGTATCTTCTCTAATAATAATAATAAAGCCTATTGCCACTGTTATTACTTATTTCTACTACTATAACTACTACTACCACTTGGTAGTATAGTATACCTATAAGTACTACTACCACTGGCTGAGTGCTTACTGAGTAACAGATGCCGTATATGTATGAACTCTAATCCTCATAACAATTCCAAGTAGTGAGTATTATTATTTCCATTTCATAGACAAAGAAGCTGAGTTATGGCAAGGTTAAGTGAGTTATCCAATAGCTACATTAAGTATTAATGAATTAAGTAATATAGAGCTGGTATTTGAACCCATAGATATCTGACTCCAAAACCTGCGGTCAATAGTACGTATTTTACCACTGAGATCAAGACACCTTATGATGAATTCAACAATACCTCACACATACTTGTTTACCTGGAAGCCAACAGGCTTCAAATCCATGATGAATTAGTTAATCTGACCCTAGTTTGACTATGTAAAAATGCTACCAGCTATAAATAATACAATGAAATTTGAGTGTTACAATGGTAGCAACTACAAAAATAATTAAAAACATGTCACCCATTTTATTTATTTATTTATTTATTTATTTATTTATTTGTTATGTTATGTTAGTTACCATACAGTACTTCATTAGTTTTTGATGTAGTGTTCCATGATTCGTTGTTTGAGTATAATACCCAGTGCTCACCGCAATATGTGCTCTCTTTAATACCCATCACCAGGCTCACCCATCCCCCTCCCCTCTTCCCTCTGAAACCCTCAGTTTGTTTCCTAGCATCCATAGCATATTACCCATTTTAAATAATTCTAAAACTAGGTTTACCCAGTGCTTTATAATAAGAAATATATATTTGGTCTTTGTTCCTCTTTTTAAAAAAATTTTATTTTAATTCGATTAATTAACAGAGGTTTTTATTGGTTTCAGAGGTACAGGTCTGTGATTCATCAGTCTTATATAATACCTAGTGCTCATTACATCACATGCCCTCCTTAATGTCCATCACCCAGTAATCCCATCCCCCCACTCCCCTCACCTCCAACAACCCTCAGTTTGTTTCCTATGATTAAGAGTCTCTTACAGTTTGTCTCCCTCTCTAGTCTCGTGTTGTTTTATTTTTTCCTCTCTTCCCCTATGATAGTCTATTTTGTTTCTTAAATTCCACATACCAGTGAGATCATATGATAATTGTCTTTCTCTGATTGGCTTATTTCACTTAGCATAATAGCTTCTAGTTCCATCCACATCATTGCAAATGGCAAGATTTTATTTTTTTGATGGCTGGGTAATATTCCAGTGTGTGTGTGTGTGTGTGTGTGTGTGTCTGTGTGTGTGTGTATACCACATCTCCTTTATCTATTCATCTGTCATTGTTGGCCCCGTTTCTGCCACCAAGCTTCTAAAACCCTTGAAATTTCCTGGGATGGGAATGATAAAAAGTGTCTTTTTTTATATTAATGGGGACTGTTGGAAAACCTCTAGGTTATCAGAGACTGGAAGGGGACAGTGGCTAGAGATTGAGTTCAGCCACCAATGGCCGGTGATTTCGTCACTCATGCCTATGAACGAAGCCTTTATAAAAACCCCAAAGGACAGAGTCTGGAGAGCTTCTGGGTTGGTGACCACATGGAGATTTGGGAAGAGTGGTATGCACAGAGAGGATATGGAAACTCCTCACCCCTTTACTTACACCTTGCCCCATGCCTCTCTCCCATCTGGCTATTCTTGAGTTATATCCTTTTATAATAAACCGGTAATCGAGTGAGTAAAATGTTTCTGTAAATTCTGTGAGCCACTCTAACAAATTAATCAAATTAAGGTGGGGTCATGGCAACCTCTGACTTATAACCAGTCTGTCAGAAGCACAAGATGGTGACAAGATGGGTTTGTCATTGGCATTTAAAATGGTAGGCGCTTTGGTGGAGCAGAGCCCTTACCTATGGAGTCTGATGCTGTCTCGAGCTAGATAGTGTCAGAACTGAGGTGAATTATAGGATACCCGGCTGGTGTCCAAAACTGCCTGGATGTGTGGGGAAAAAAACCCCACACATTGTAATTGGTGATCAGGATTGTTAACCCTTCTTTTCTTAATTTATGAATACTTATAACATGAACACTGCTTTTTTTTTTTTTTAAGATTTTATTTATTTATTTGACTTAGAGATCACAAGCAGGCAGAGAGAGAGGAGGAAGCAGGCTCCCTGCTGAGCAGAGAGCCCGATGCGGGGCTCGATCCCAGGACTCTGAGATCATGACCTGAGCCGAAGGCAGCGGCTCAACCCACTGAGCCACCCAGGCGCCCCTGAACACTGCTTTCTTAGCAACTAATAAAACAAGGAAACAAAATCAGTAAGGATAAAGACTTAAGAATAGTACCAACCAACATGACCAAATTGATAGTTATAGAAAACTCCACCAAATCACAGGTTCTTTTCAAGTATGCATGGAACATTCACAAGGAGAGGCTGTACTGAGCCATAAAACAACTTTCTGTGGAGGAACTGAAGTCACACAAATTGTGTTCTCTGACCATAATAAAATTAAACTAAGAATCAATAACAGAAGTATGTTTAGACAATCCCCAAATATTTGGAAGCCAAACAAGATATTTCTAAAAGTTTTTTTTAAAGGATTTTATTCTTATTTATTTGTCAGAGAGAGAGAGAGAGAGCGCGCGTGCACAGGCAGGCAGAGGCAGAGGGAGAAGCAGGCTCCCTGCCGAGCAAGGAGCCCGATGTGGGACTCGATCCCAGGACATTGGGATCATGACCTGAGCCGAAGGCAGCTGCTTAACTGACTGAGCCACCCAGGCGTCCCCAAATAAGGTATTTCTAAACTGCCATGCCTTCAGAGAAAAAATTATAAGAGATGTTAGAAAATATTTTCCATGAATTAACTTGAATGAAAATGAAAAAAAATATCAATATTTGGGGGAAGTAACTAAATCTGTGCTTGGATGAGAATTTATACCATTTAATGCTTATACCAGAAATTGATAAAGGACTCAAAGTGATCCAACCTTTCACCTTAAAAACCCAGCCAAAACAAGTGAAATGAAAGTGGTATTAAAAATAAGTGTTGAAGTCAAAAAAATTAAAGACAGAACCACAAGAGAGTATATTGTAGAACAAGAGTGGTTCTTTGGAAGGATCAGTAACACTGGTAAACTTCTAATTTGAACATGAAAAAAAGAGAGAAGACAACAAATCACCAATACAAGAAATTACAGAACATTTCTACAGATCAAAAAGATAACAAGGGAATATTTTGAACAACTTTATGCCACTATATTTGATGACCTGTATGACATGAACATATTCGTTCAAAGACAAACTACTAAAACTCACTCAAGAAGAAATCTGCCCAAGGAATTGAATTTGTAGTTAAAAATCTTCCCATGAAGAAAACTCTAGGCTCAGATGTCTTCACTAGTAAATTCTAAAAAAAAAGTTTTAAGAATTAATAGTACTGGGCACTTGGGTGGCTCAGTGGATTAAACCTCTGCCTTCAGCTCAGTTCATGATTTCAGGGTCCTGGGATTGAGCCCCACATCAGGCTCTCTGCTCAGCGGGGAGCCTGCTTCCCCCTCTCTCTGCCTGCCTCTCTGCCTACTTGTGATCTCTCTCTCTCTGTCAAATAAATAAATAAAATCTTAAAAAAAAAAGAGAAGTACAAAGAGTAAGAAGTAACTTTTGGGGTAACAAAATTAAGTTGTATTTATCCACAATGGATTGGCTAACTAAGTGACTGTGTATCTATTAATAAGGACATAAATCTACGTGCACAAATGTGAATAGATATCTGTGATATATTATCAAGTGAAAAAAGCAAGTTGTATATGTGGTATAATGCTATTCTGGTTTTTATTTTTTGCGTATGTGTGTCTGTGTGTGTATGTTCACAGGACTGCTATGAGGTGGTACACATTAATGTATGGCAATAAAGTTGTGAAGACACTGGAATAATTTTGTATCAGTTGTAAATAGCTGCTGGCCTGAGTCTTTCAGCTGTCTGTCACCTACTCCAGCTGGCCAAGCTCCTCCCTGCCCCTTGTATTCCCAGCCACTAAACAGATAATACTTAGCAATTCTCTAGAACTCTTCTCTGGAGCTACGTTCTTATACGTGAGGGGCCATGATTTAGGAGTTATTGCATATTTTTAGTACAGCCCTTGTCTGAAGAATATGCATATAAAATATTTTGAAGAATATTTACTAAATATTAACCATATTATTTTGGGTCAGGGTGGTGAGTAAGGGTTAGATGAGAATATTCACTTTGAACATAACCGTATACTTTTTTCTTTTTAACAAAAAGCCTATGTTCATTCATATTGTGATCAGCAAAACAATATTGCATTTAAAACAAGTCCTTATTAGGGTGCCAGGGTGGTAGAGTTGGTTGTGTCCCACTCTTGGTTTCACCTCAGGCCTGACTGATCTCAGGGTTGTGAGACTGAGCCCTGCGTTAGGCTCCGCACATACTGTAGAGTCTGCTTGGGTTTCCTCTCTCCCTCTCTCTCTGGCCCCCCCCCTTACTCTCTCTCTCTCTCTCTCTAAAATAAATAAATCATTGTTTACAATGAGCCATTATTCAAATGCATTTTTAAGATTTATGAAAATTGAAATTCTGGTAACATTCAGTGTGGAGAAATGGGCAGTGTCATCGCACAAAATGTAACTTTCTACAATCTTTTTAAAGAGTAATTTGGGGGGGCGCCTCGGCGGCTCAGTGGGTTAAGCATCTGCCTTCGGCTCAGGTCATGATCTCAGGATCCTGGCAGGGTCGAGCCCCGCATTGGGCTCCCTGCCCAATGGGGAATCTGCTTCTCCTTCTCCCTCTGCCGCTCCCTCTGCTTATGCTCTCTCTGTCTCTTGCTCTCTCTTGAATAGGTAAAATCTTTTTTAAAAATCATTAAAAAATAAATAAAGAGTAATTTGGCAATATCTATCAAATTTTCTAAATGCACATATCCTACAATCCAGCTGTCCCATTTCTGGGGATTTATTTTTTGGAAATAATGTCATAAATGCCTAAAGATTGATAAACAAGGATAACAATGTTAGAATTGTTTGTAAGAGTAAAGTACGGGCAACACACCTGAATCTTCCTCAATAGGGGAAAAGTGACACACATTGTGGCACATTGGGACAGTGCTGCACTGTGTAGAACAAAATGAGAGACTGGATGAAGACTGATATATTAATAAGTGGTATATGAATAAGATGGACTAAAGAGTAGAGAGGAATAAATTATCGATATGACAGATGGCATCCCCAAAATATATATTGAGCAAAAGAAGCCTGACACAAAAAATACATATATTAAGATTCCATTTATAGGAAGAGCAAGGACCAGTAAAACTAATCTAAAAATAAGACAAGCCGTAAGAGACTCTTAATCTCACAAAACAAACTGAGGGTTGCCGGGGGAAGGTGGGTAGGAGAGGGTGGTTGGGTTATGGACATTGGGGATGGTGTGTGCTATGTTAAGTGCTATGAAGTGTGTAAGCCTGGCGATTCACAGACCTGTACCCCTGGGGCTAATAATACATTATATGTTAATAAAAATTTTTTAAAAATAAATTTAAAAAACTAATCTAAAAATAGTTCCAAATGAGAAATGGAAAGTGACTTTATAAGGATTTTCCTGTAAAGACATCTATGACATAGTCACAAGTGGTAAAGTTGCAGACAGATTATGTAGCATTGTTTAAATCTTTAAAAACTGTGCAGGAAAAAACTGTCTCTGTCTCTCTCATTATATATACGCATCCACTCACACATACAGGGTGGGATTATGAATGATTTTTTTTTCTTTTTGGTGTGTTTTCAACTTTTCAAATAAAAAAATGACATATGGGAGAAAAAATAGGAAGGGGACAAAAGAAAAAAAGGAGGAAAGAAAAAACACAAGGAATAATTGATACAGAACAGGCGATGAAGAAGGAAAACAAAGGAGACTTGAAAACAGCAGAAGAAAAATAAGAGAAGTATGAGCAGAAGTAGCTCAAAAGAAACAGCTACAAATTCAGGAAAGTCTCAGGTAGCAAGTTTGCAATATTGAAACTGGTGAGCACTGGAAAGAGCAGGTCTTACTTTGAGGTGCTAAGCTCAGAGAGGACTACCATTTTATGGGCTGTGGGGCAGACAGAAAGATGGCTTTGGTGCATGAACTTGATTTAGCTAGGAAAATCTGTCCATTCAGTGCTCGTGGCTCAGCACTTGTCATCTGTGGGGCGCTACTGTTGCTGAGTAGAAGATATGTGTCTAAGAGTATATACGGTGTGTAAGAAAGGACCACAAGCAAGATGGGAAGATAATTTTCTCGTTTGTATAAATCTTAGAACGTAGGTTCCACTGCTTTAAGTCAAAGAACCTCTATTGCTGGAAATCCTATTCTCAAAAAATCCAGCTCATTAGTTTGGTGTGAGAAAAAATTCTGTTTTGATAGGTTGGTAGAATATTCTAGGGCTGGACTTGAGAGTAGCAGCTCTCCTGTGCAGAGAGTCACATGCGTAGAGACATGGAAGGACTGACGAGAAGGCAGGAAACAGCACTTCCTTGGTTTTTAAAGTTAGTCCCTCAAATTGAAACTTTGATCCAGTTGAGCCAACTGTGTCCTGTTCTCTGTTTTAGATTCGGTTGACCTACAGAAAGCAAGGGAACATAATCAGAGACTGGACAAGGAAATTCTGGCTTTAAGAAATCGGGTTCGATCACTTGACTCAGAAAAAAAAGTGCTTGGAGAAGTGGTAAGTTGTTTAATGTAATTTGTTTTTAGAATGTATGTATGTATGTATGTATGTATGTATCTATTTATTTATTTATTTAAAAGATTTTATTTATTTATTTGACAGACAGAGATCACAAGTAGGCAGAGAGAGAGAAGGAAGCAGGCTCCCTGCCAAGCAGAGAGCCCGATGCGGGGCTTGATCCCAGGACGCTGGGATCATGACCTGAGCCAAAGGCAGAGGCTTTAACCCACTGAGCCACCCAGGTGCCCCTAGAATGTATTTAAATGCATATAAAATAACAATCAGCAGCTAAAGCACTACATATATATCATTAGTGACGACCAGTCCTGGTGGCTAGAGCATCCCAGATAGATGCCATTCCCTGACCTTGATACAGTCTATCAGTATTTATGTTTATACATTTTAACTACCCGTGCTAAACAGTAACGCCCATGCTAAACAGTAATGTTTTGCTATTGTGTCAATTTAGGATCTTTTTTTTCTTTTAAGATTTTTCTTTTTTTTAATTTATTTAAAAGATTTTATTTATTTATTTGACAGAAATCACAAGTAGGCAGAGAGGCAGGCAGAGAGAGAGGAGGAAGCAGGCTCCCCGCCAAGCAGAGAGCCCTATGTGGGGCTCGATCCCAGGACCCTGGGATCATGACTTGAGCCGAAGGCAGAGGCTTTAACCCACTGAGCCACCCAGGCACCCCTAAGATCTTTTCTTTTCTTTTTTTTTTTTTATCTTTTCTTTTTAATATAGATTTAAGTTTGAGTTGTGTCACATTTGTGAACCATTTCTTTTTAGTAATTTTTGATTTTTAATACGTACTTCCAAGTTCTGGGTATATGTGTCTTCGATTTTAGTTTATATTCATTTTACAACCATATCTCTAGCATCTCACACAACACCTGTGTATCACACGATAATAAGCGCTTAAGTAATTTTGTTGCAAGAATGAATAAATACCCATTAGATTGGCTCTCATCAAAGCAACAGAAAATAACAAATGTTGATGGTAATCTGGAGAAATTGGAATCCTTGTGCCTTGTTGAGAATGAAAAATGATGCTGCAGTCACTGTAGGAAGCAGCATGGCACTTTCCCTAAAAAGTAAATGTGGAATCATCATATGATCAAGCAATTCTGCTTTTGGGTATATACCCAAGGAGTTGAAGGTAGAGACTTGAACAGATATTTGCACACTCGTGTTCATAGCAGTGTTATCCACAACAGCCCAAAGGTTGAAGCCTTTGAGGGATGAATAGATACACAGAATGTGGACTATACAATGGAATTTTATTCAGCCTTAAATAGGAAGGAAATTCTGACCTATGCTGGAACATGGCTGAAACTTGAAGACATTATGCTAATTGAAATGTGACAGAAAAGGACAAATAGTATATGATTCCCCTTTTATGAGGTACCAAGAAGTAGCCAAAATCATAGAGACAGAAAATAGAATGGTGGTTGCCAGGGACTGTGGGGAGAGAAGGGCATAATAGGGAATTCTTATTTAATAGGCATAGAGTTTCAGTTTTGCGTGATGAAAAGAATTTTGGAGATCCATGATGGTGATGGTACATAATAATTAGAAGGTACTTAATAATATTGAACTGTGGGGACGCCTGGGTGGCTCAGTTGGTTAAGCAGCTGCCTTCGGCTCAGTTCATGATCCCAGCGTCCTGGGATCGAGTCCCACATCAGGCTTCTTGCTCATCAGGGAGCCTGCTTCTCCCTCTGCCTCTGCCTGCCATTCTGTCTGCCTGTGCTTGCTCTCTCTCCCTCTCTCTCTCTGACAAATAAATAAATAAAATCTTAAAAAAAAATAATATTGAACTGTGCACTTGAAAATGGTCAACATGGTAAGTTTGTATTATGTATATTTTATTGTTATTTTTAAAATGTAGTCCTAAAAAGAATGAGTAGACAACTGTTCAAGTTGTCTTAGTCTTTTTACATTTATGTATTTAATACCAACATATACTTATATATGTAATACATACACACACATACATGATAAAATTTAAGAAGGGTGTATCCCAAACATTGTTATACTTCTGGAAAGGGAAATGGGATTGTGGGGTAAGGTTATGTGAGGGAAAATTTCACTTTTTACTCTATATACCTATATGTTGTTTGAAATTTTTTCATGAAGAATGTATTCGTGTATTACTTATATCTTTTAAAAAGAAAGCAAACCACCTCCCCTACCCCATCCTCTCGTACTTAAAATACTTTTTGTATTTAAGGTTGAAAGACTTAAAGGAGAGATTTGTGAATCTCAAGAGAATAAGCAACTTGGAAACCACTCCCCTAGGAAAAGTGTGGGTGCTGAACGGAGAGAACAGGTATTTTAAAAAGTTTATTCTTTCGGATTTCAAATTATGAAGTGAGTCATATTTTTGCAGCGTACACTGAGTGATTATACTAATTATTTGCTTCTCTCCTCTTATTGCTTGTCTTTTTCTATTGCTTGGCCAATTAGAGTAGAGGAAAAAATTGGGGTAGAGAGGATGTGTTTCTGTTCACATCTTCCCCACAGGGAAAATTTATATGAAGAATATAATGGACTATATTCTTTTTTAAAGAAAAAAAAAAGGAATTGTACAAAGATATAACTAATTTGGGCATTTTTTAATCATCAAAATGAAATTGATTTATAGAATCAACCAATGATGATGGAGTGGGTATTTGGAGTCCCACTTAAAGTAACAAACTATGGTAAAGAAGCAGAAAGGCTTAGATGCTGTGCATGGTCTCTGGTCTTTTCATCATGATCAGCCTCTGCAGTGGTGGGCAAAGCAATCACCATCAAGCTGGAATGCCGTGGGAGCCCCTGTGTTTTAGATAGGGCTGTGTCAGACACTCAGGGCAAGGAGCTAGACTGCTTTGGGGGGGCTTTCCTCTTACTTACCTAAGACGAGTGACATCCCTTGTGGCTGAGCTAGTTTTTATTGTAGCTCCTTCGTCCCTATAGCCCAGATCTCTTATGTTAGGTCCGTTATTAAACAAAACGAGACTGAGACAAGTGAAAGTTATTTAAAGCTTTATTCTATGCTAAGCATTAGATGTAAACAAAGTTGAAGTTATGCAAAGCTTTAAACTATGCCAAGCATTAGAAATCAGACTGACCAGCCAGGGCCGCTCCGAGGAGAGTGACCCTTCCCAGCCTTACAGACTAATTTTTATAGAGCAAAAACCTGGCCACATATAGGTAGCCAATGAGATTGTAACATTGTATAGCCATGTTAGGCCACGTGCAGGTGGCCAATTGAATTACAGTTTACCCTATAGTAGCTGTTTGACCTAACCTATTACTCTGGTCAGAATTGGTGCTCAAGGTTGGCGCCCAAAAGGCGGGGTTTACATTCTTTGGTGGTTAGGGGAAAAGTATGTGTGTTTCTTACTGATTGGATGTCTCCACCTGGCCTGACTCGTCCTTGTATTCTGGACTCTGTTATCAGGAGCTGGCCGACCTGGCCTTGTATTCTGGGCTCTGTTATTAGGAACTGGCTGACCATATTTTACTGGCTTCCCAGACTTGCTTCTAAGTAAGTTTCTCTGGGGGGGCAGGGTCGGTTTAAGTTTTACTGCACAAATAATAAAATGGCTTTAAACCAAGATGGAGTCGCTCTGGCTAAATAGGCCCTTACACTTAGGTATCATGGAAACTACAGCTATAGGATTTCTTGGCTCTGACCCAAGGAACTGTTATCTTTCCTTCTCTTCCAAAACCCTCTTACATAGAAGCAGTGCGTTTTTATAAGAAGGAAGGGAGAAAGAGCAGAGAAGGTGGAAGAGAGGAGTGAAGGGAAGGAAAGAAGGAATTTCCAGGCAAGACTTCAGTAACTTTTACCAAAACTATTCCCAAAGAGCTCATTAGTGCTCAGAGTGCCTGGTGGCTGAGTCGGTTGAGCGTCTGACTCTTAATTTCGGCTCAGGTCATAATCTCAGGGTTGGGGGATTGAGCCCTGAGTCAGGTTCCCTGCTCAGTGGAGGTCTTCTTGAGAGCCTCTCCCTCTTCCTCTATATCTTCCCCTGCTCACACTCTCCCATTCTCTCTTTAATATAAAAAAAAAATCTTAAAAAAAAAAAAAAGAACTCAGGGTGCTCTAATTAAAAGCAAGTTGAGGGGCACCTGGTTGGCTTAGTCATTTAAGCATCTGCTTTTGGCTCAGGTCATGATCCCAGGGTCCTGGGATGGAGCCCCGCGTCAGGCTTCTTGGAAGGTCCTAGGGGAGCCTGCTTCTCCCTCTCCCTCTCCCTCTGCCTGCTGCTCCCCTTGCTTGTGCACTCTCTCTTTCTCTCTCTGTGTGTTAAATACATAAATACATAAATAAATAAATAAACAAATAAATCTTTTTTAAAAAGGCAAGTTGATTTTTAGTAACCATTTTGATTAGTTTCTTATTTATCCTTCCAGTATTTCTTTATTCAAATATAAAAATTTTGAATATTTATTTAGATTTCCTCCTTTCCTGGTTTCTTTTTCTTTTTACTAAGATGCTCCTAGAGATCCTTCCATATCATACAAAAAAGTCTTCCTCATTCTTTAGAGCAGTCTTGCTTTCTATTGTGTGGATGTACTATGATTTATTTAACCAGTCTCCTTTTGATGGACACTTGGGTTGTTTCTGGTCTTTTGCACATATATGTGGGTATTTCTTTAGGATAGAGTCACAGAAATGGGATTGTGGGATTAGAGTAGATGGATCTACAATTCAGGTAGATACTGTCTGATACTCCTCAGAAAGAATTGTACCATTTTCCTCTCCTTCCACAATGCATGTAAAAATCAGTTTCTTAAAGAATTCACCAGCTGAATATATTGTCTACTAAATGAGAGCTGAGAATGGGTATCTAAGTATAGTTTTAATGCACCTTTATCTATTTATAGTGAAATTGGGAATTTTCATATGTTTAAAAGTTATTACATTTCTTTTATAAAATTTGCATCATTGAAATGTTTAATACAATATAAACATACATATTTTAAGAGTTGAGTTCAGTGAATTTTGACAGGTGGATATACCTATAACTACAGCCTGCAATCAAGTTATAACTATATTCAAGCTATCAAGTAATCAACTTATAACTATACATAACAATAATCAAGTTATAACTATAACTGCAATCAAGAAAGAAAACATATTCATTAATCCATAAATTTCCCTCCCCCTTTGCCATTAACCCCACCTCCCACCAGTCCTTACTCCACCATCTTCTATTATCATACCTTTTCTAGAATTTCAAATAAGTAGAATCATCTAGTATATACTTTTTTTGTGTTTAGCTTCTTTCACTTATAATGATGCTTTTGATATTTATCTGTGTTGTTGCCTGTGTCAGTAGTTCGTTTTTTATATTGCTTAGTAATATCCCTGTATTCAGATATACCAGAAATTGTTTACCCACCCGCTGGTTGATAGGCATTCAAATTGTTTTTAGGTTTTGACTGTTACAAATAAAGCTGCCACTTATATCCTTACACCTGTTTTTTTTTTTTATTCTTGGATAAATACTTAATAGTGAAATTATCAAGTCATAGAGTAAATGTATGTTTAACCTTATAAAAAAAGTGCCAGACTGTACTATCTTACATTCCTACCAACAATCGTATGGAAGTTTCAGTTGCTTCTCATTTTCATCAACATTGTTATTGTCAGTCTTTTGAATTCTAGATATTCTAGGGGACATGTAGTTGTATCTCACTATGGTTTTATCATTTTTTAAAGTTTTATTTATTTTAGGGAAAGAGAGTACGAATGGGCAGAGGGCAAAGGGGGAGGGAAAGGGAGAGAGAATCTGAAGAAGTTTCGCATTGAGCATGGAGCCAGACGTGGGGCTCAATCTCACGACTCTGAGATTGTAACCTGAGCCAAAATCAAGAGTCAGACACATAACCAGCTGAGTCACTCAAGCACCTCACTGTGGTTCTAATTTGACTTTTGAAAGTATCTAATGACAATGAGTATGCTTTGATGTGCCCATTAGCCATTAGTATATATTCCTTTATGAAACCTCAATTTAAATATTTTGCTTGTTTTTAACTGAATTATATGTATATTAAGTTTAGGAATTCTTTACACATGTTGCATACTAGTCCTTCATTAGATATATGTACTTTAAATATTTTCTCTCAGTCTATGACTTGTCTTTTCATTTTTAAAAGTGTTTTATGAAGAATAGTTGTTTTAAAATTTTGATGGAACCCAATTTATCAAAGTTTTCTTTTAAAATTTTATTATAGGACATATAAGCCATCTAAGAAATTTTGTCTATACCAAGGACACAAAATATTTGTCCTCTCTTTTCTTCTAAAAGTTTTAGAGTTTCAGCTTCTACATTTAGGTTTATGATCCATTGGAGATAATTTTTGTATATAGTGTGAGGTGAGGTTTGAGGTTCATTTATTTCCAAATGTATATCCTGTTATTTTGGAATGATTTATTGGAAAGAGAATTATTTAATTACTTTGGCACCTTTATAAAAAATCTGTTATTCAGCTCAATTTCTGGACTCTCTTCTGTTCCACTAATCTACACATTTGTTTATAGGATAATATCATGCTATTGTTTTATTGTAAGTCTTGAAATCAGAAAGAAAATCTTTCCAACTTTTTTTTTCAAAGATGTTTGGACTGTTCTAGGTTCTTTGCATTCATATACATTTTTTAAAAGATTTTATTGATTTATTTGAGAGAGAGAGAGAGGCCTGGGGACCCTGGGAGCATAACCTGAGCTGAAGGCAAATGCTTAACTGACTGAGTTACCCAGGTGCCCCTTCCATATACATTTTAGAATCAGCTTGTCATTTTTGACAAAAATGCCTGCTAGGATTTTGATTGGGATGGCACTGAATCTGCAGATAACTGAGGCAGAATTTATATCTTAACAATATTGGGTCTGCCAATGTGTCAACATGATCTATATCTTTCTGTTTATTTGAGTTTTTATCTCAGCAATGTTTTATCGTTTTCAGCCCACAGTTCTTACCTATGTGTAATTTCATTTATTCTTTGAAAAAATTGAAGTATAATTTACATACCATAAAATTCACCCCTTTAAAGTGTATTGTTCAGTGGTTTTTAGTATATCTAATCACTATCTAATTTCAGAACATTTTCATCTCCCCAAAAGAAACCCCATATCCGTTAGTAGTCAATCTCCATTCCCTTAGCCTCCAGACTCTTGGCAACCACTAATTTGCTTTTTGTCTCTAAGAATTTGCCTATCTGGTATATTTCATACACATGGAATCATACAGTATGTGGTCTTCCACATCTGGCTTCTTTCGCTTGGCATAATCTTGTCAAGCCTGAAGCATATTGTAGCATGAATCAGTACTT